TATATATATATATATATATATATATATATATATATATATATATATATATATATATATATATATATATATATATTTACGTATATATCAGTTACTTTTCCTAAAATTCTTGCATGGTGTCGGTACTGTTTCATAATTATACAGTGGAATAGTTTATTTTCAGAGAAAAATATAATTTTTATTTCAAGTCACATACAACCTGTATTTGACACATTCATCGATACAGAAGTAAAGTATTAATAGAATATCAAGAGTCCTATGTAGATTCAGTGCAATGGTATTTTGTTATAATTCCAGCAATATGTGATTTCAACTACAGAACTAACAATCCATATGAGCTTATAATGTATATAGAGCTTATATAATATACGAGAAGATATAGATTTTAAATTACTGATTTAATTTTTATTACAATCAGTATCAGAATGTAATATAACTATGCGAATGTAAAAATGTTAAAACCTCAATCCAACTAATTTATTGTAAATCTGCTATATTTAGTTCCATACTGTATGTGTAATCGTGACTGTATTCCAATATGAAATTATTCCACAATATCAAATTTATAATAACATTCTACTCTATAAGACGCATTTATGCTTTATATGATTTGGTTATTTTGATACTGGATATTTGCATTGCATAGAACAAATCGAATGTCTTATATTGAAACAATGTTAATAAAAAATGTTTAATAATTAAATATTTAATTAAATTTGATTAAATATTTAATTAGCTAAACAATAATATATAAGAAGCATATGAAAGAGATCTTGCAATATATTATATTTACTGTTAAGCTCGTTCATGTGTTATTCAAATAATACCACGCAATAGTACCGAATTTGTACATATAAAAGAATTTATGCGATCTGTATAACATTACATTCGACAATTATTAACAGTTTTTTTATCAGTAAGCGAATTTATGTAATTTTTGGAAATTTTAAATTCAATAAAATATAGTATAGTTTAACACGTCCCATAATACGTGTAGCTACCCTGATCGTGTGTTGGAAAAAATTTCTTTAATTGTTAAAAAATTATAAATAAGTAATTTAGAAAGTAAATGAACGAAAAATATAGAAATATGGATGATAACTGACTCTTTAATATGGTATTTTAAAACGTAACTTGTTGGTATTTTTTAATTATATGATAAAAGCAATTTTATCTTGTCATTATTTATTTTATAATGCATATATATATATATATATATATATTAAATTCCATTCTATTATATAAGAACACAATTTTCCTTAATATGTATTAAAATATTATCAAATTTTGTCGATTATATATGTAACAAATAATTGTATCATAAGTGTATACAAATTTTCATATATATTTTAGCCAACAGAATGAACTAATTTTTAAAAGCTTTGAAGAATTCACAAAATTATACGCAGAGTAATACTGTTTTAATAGTTCATATATTACATCTATATATTTTATATTATGCATAAATATTTATATGTCACTTGTGTACAACTTTGTATGCAACTGTTGACTTAGCACCAACAATTACAAGGAAAATTACTGTTTATCTTTGTAATTTAGAATTTGACAGAAATTTTAAGAATATTGTGTGTGTGTACGTGTGTGCGTGCGTGCGCGCGCGTATGTGTGTGTGTGTGTGTGTGTAATACTTTTACTTCGTACATTAAATATAATAGTATCAAAGTAAGATATAATAGTCAGAAAATTATTCTTTTTATATTTTAAGAATGCAATTAATATTAATACAGAGTTTTTTCAAATTTGCTACTTTATTATATCATCTACTTTACATTTCTGTGGAAATATACCATTTTATATGCAATAAGTATTTTTCAGAAAATATGAAAAATAAGATGTCTATTTTAATTATTAAATGAAATTTAAAATTAGAACGAAGTATATAAATATGTATACAAATATTTTATTCTGATTAACGAGATAATATATTTAACAAATGAATAACAGTTTCTCTTACTTTTATTCCTTATTTATTATCTCTATATTTTGTGAAAATTTAATAACGATCCCATACAACATAACGTAAAATCGGGACATAAGACATCTTGAAGACGTCTTAAAGACATCTTAGTGACGTCTTACATTCCGACGTCTGAAAGATGTCTTTAAAATGTCTTTCAGACGTCTTATGTCCCAATTTTAGACGTTGTGTTGTGTGGGATACTATATTATGTAACGTAAAATGCAATATAAAATTGTTACATTAAGATACATGTGAAATATACTAAGTTAATTTAATTTCTAAAACATTGCATATGATTAATTTTATCGTATTTGCCTATAACAGGAATATCCCTGTAATTGGAAAATTTCGTTGTAATAAATAAATAAGATGTTCATGCGAATTTCAATACCATTATCGATATTTTTTTTTAGTTTTTTTAATATCTTTGTTATCTAATTAAATACTTTTATTACGATAAATCCAGAAACATTATGTTTTGTGAATTTATTTTCAAATCGTAATTTTTATAAAAGTGTAGAAACAATAATATAAATATATTTATAGCGTCTCTTCGAACTATCGATTTGTATCGAAATTAGTTTAGCAATCATGTCAAATTATGTACCACAAAATTACATGTAATCACTGTTATTAGCATATACAATTCACCGAATATCGTAAGTTGAACTATTATAAAACTATGCATTAATTTCTGCATATTCTTTCAAATTTTAAAAGAATGCAATTAATGCATTAAAGAAGTGATAAAAAGTTTTTTTACAAAAATATAATCTTATGATCATAGTATAAATCATAATAAGTGTATATAATATTTCTATCTTGTATTGAATTTTGCTTATTTATGCAATAGCATATGAGAAACGTTAGATTAAATGAATCTGTCATGATGCGTGTTGTAATTATATTACTACAAAATTCAATTATATTTCATACACAGATGGAAAGGATTCCTATAACACCGCAGATGTTACGTACAGCTGTAAAAGAGCTACAAATGCATCAATTGTTTGTTGAGTTAAAATCTTTAGGACAATACATACAGAGACATTATCCTGTCGAAAGCGATTTCTTAATTTTCCAGCAGGAATTACAGGAAAAATTGAAGTATGCTGTCTGCGTTGGACTACTTGCTAAACATGGTGAAGACCAATACTACATACCGACTTTACGACAAGAGGCAAATGTCGTTAAAACAGCAATCACTGCATTCTGGGAACTTTATAAAAATGTAAGACAAATAATGAATTTTTTCATGTTTAAATGTTTATACTTTACAATAAAATCTTTGTACTTTCTCTGCTTCTTCGTTTAGAATAGATTGGTTAACACAAGAAAAAGGATTCACACCAAACAATCAAATAAACAAACAATACATAAAAAACGAAAAGATTATACAAATTTTTCTGAGAGTGATGAATCTAATACTAGCGAAGATTTAGATATAATCTAACCGTAAAACTTGAAACTCGGATGTTGATTTTTTATAATCGTAAATTATATTGGATCAAGAGTTGTAATAGATACATTTACATAAAATAAACTTGAGATATATGTATTATGCACGACTTCATATGTACATACAATTGTATGTACAATAAAAACCTTATTCTTGCATAGCACCAAGTACAGTAAATGGATTATTTACATCATGAAAGGATGGTTCATTAGTGCTTTCACATTTTTTCGCAATCTCTTCTTCGTGATCTTGTGTGGATTGTTCCTTTCTTTCACATTTTATCTTTTGCTTTTTATATTTGCTGACTTTTGTTTGCATTGTGCACATACTAAATAAAGGTTTGAATTTTAACAACAGTATATTGAACAGACGCTGTAGACTTGGAGAATTATGTAAAACTGAATTTATGTAAATTTCAACATTGTCGCGTTTTTTAAAATTGCTACACAAATTGTACAACAATGTACCATTGAACACGTTTGCAATCTTAGTTTGTTCATATGGATATCCTAATAGTGCATTTAAATGCATACTATGTCTCAAGCAATTTTGAAATTCCGCAAAACCGTGCACAATTGTAACATTGAATTTTTTTGGTTGCGAATATACTTTATAGTCCATTTCGAAATTAGATACAAAAAACGAAGCCGCGATCAAACAATCATCTGCATTAACTTCGTAAATTGCATCTGAAATTGTAACATCCATTGAATACTGTGGCCTATAGTTTCCCATTTTTCTTGCAGACTGAATATTTTGCGCGATTTTGTAGAATTTTTGTTGAAAAATATTTAAAATTCTATAAAAACCTATCTTACAATCTATTATGTTATACAACAAAGCAAATAATAAAGAGTATATATGATAATTAAACTTAGCAGGCTCCTGTTGTTGATCTATCCAATATTTGATGGTTGCAATATATAACATCCACATTGGTGGAATTTCACTCATAACATTTTCACCAGTGACCCCTAAAGTGGTGTTTAAAATTTCTGTTCTGATAATAATAGGTATCTCTCTCAAATTAGACAAAGAAGGCAGTTTACATCCAAACATATCCTCATTATATTCTAAACAATAATGCTTTATTCTCTTATTTTCATCCCTTGTCATATATTTCATGCAGGTTTTCTCTTTGTCTATTTCTGATATCAACAGCCCGTATATAACACTTATAATTTTCAAACTTGCAATGGCAGATGAAGCGTAAGAATAATCTTCAACTTGTGCAGGGAAAATATACAATTTCCGTATTATTAAATCAATGAAGTAAGCTGGATAACTGCCCTTCTTAAATTCGTTAATAAACCATGGAGGCAAATTGTTAACCAGCGATTCGTTAGAAACTAATTCTGTTTCTTCAAGTATTCTTGTTGCTTCCTGTTCATCTATCCCTTCTTCTTCACTTAAGTTTGTTTCATTTGTCTTCTCTTCAATATATATCAATTGGTATATATCACCTTCAAATTTGTATGTCTTGGATGCACTTTGCAAGTGTGCTTTTGAGAATTTTTCTGCAGGCACACCTAGCATAGTCAATACACTCAATGATGCATTAAGATAACTGTTTATTATTGTCTCTATTATATTTAACACATGTTTGCGTTCTTGCTTACGTAACCTGCTTAGTATTCCTATTATAGCTTGATTTAAACTATATCTTCGCAGCCAATCGAATGTAGCATCAATACGTCGTTGTTGTTCATTGTATTTCCTCCTCCCTGCTGGTGGTAATTTCAAATGACGGAAAAAGTTTCTAAATACATGTTGCTTCACATAATCATTTCCCAATAATACTGCCGCTAATGGCAATAAAGATTGATTCAGTCCGTTATAAAAATGGAAAAGCTTTTCAACATAATAAATCTTGCAACGTTTTACGTAACCATTGCCAGTTGAGTTACGAATCACATAATTTCGCCATGTACTGAATGGTATGTACAACGACCCATAAATATAGAAATCAGAATCATAACTTAATACAGGACACTTAAGAATACGTGCTATTGCAGCTATGGTATTATCTGCTTCAAATATACATTGTACATACTTAATGCCTTTTCCTCTCATGATATCCTTGAAAACTTCCTTTATACATAAAGGAAAGAATTTGTTTCTATGCTGAGAACTTGGTGTGTAAGATGATGCTAATCGAATCTTCTCTCTAGTTCGAGTTATAATTGTCTTGAGTTTCTTGTCTTCACTGCCTCCATCAAATAATACCAATGGAGTAACATTGCACTTTAAAAGTTCGTCAAAAAATTCTGATACACATTGTGCATATTTATCATAATCACCACCAAAAGCGCAATTACAGCTTGCATACCAATTGTACAATTGACAGGCTATGCTATTGCCATCAATTACTAAGTAAGTATCATGTAGTTCATAATTTTCGAGAAAACGGTCAGAATAATTTGAGATAAACGTTGTCAAACCAGGAATTCCCATCCTTGAAATTGATCCTTTGAGATTTGATTCAATTTGTACTCATCCAAATTAAAAATTTCTGAAAAATATTAATCAATATTTTTAATATATTTAAAATGTATTTTGCTTTTTTATGTATAATTATCTTCCTTTTATTACTGACAGTATGAAATTTATACTTATTTATGATTCAGAATCTTTCTAACCTCAATGTGTATTTCATTCATGTGCATTTCTTGATGTAATATATTTCTACTATCTTTCTTGTACAATTAATTATAATGATACGCATGTAAGAAATCCTTATTCTTCTTTATATACATTTTATTTAATTTTATTGTTTGTAAATATATAATTCTCATGAAGAATACACGCGTAGGCTCTCCTTGGTACTAACACAACAAAATGGCTTCTTTTGATTTTGGCTGCGTTCCTTTGGGCGCTCACACGCTGTAAGCGTCATTGGGTGTGTTCAGCGAACTCAACAGTTGTATAACAGTTGAACAATTCGTCAATGTAATTGGTCTAGATTTAGAGATCTAACAGTAAGAACCAATAATCGCTGATTGTTCACTGAGCGCTTTTTCTGCTGAACGCGCCCATTGGGTGCGTTCAGCGAACTTAACAGTTGCACAACAACGGAACGCTCGTGATTGGTTCCGCTCTCGTTCTGCGTTCTGCTATTCTGCTACCTGTGTTTATACCCAAACTCTATCTTTCTTCCGCATCTAATGAGTAGAAAAAGATAGAATGCGCCTATTCTGTATTACAATCCAAATGCTCACCTATCCTATTGGCATATTCTTTTAGATCTCAAAATATATACCAATCAAATGTAAGAACTCACTGAGCGCTTAGTGAGCGGTGTAGTATTGAATGCACCCAATGGCTGCGTTTAGAAAACAGCTGATCAGTGAGCGGTCAGTGATTATTGGTCCTTACTGTTAGATCTCTAACTTTAGACCAATTACATTGACGAATTGCTCAACCGTTGTGTAGTGTCTCCTGAACGCACCCAATGTAATTGGTCTAGATTTAGGGATTTAACAGTAAGAACCAGTAATCACTGACCGCTCACTAATCAGCTGTATTCTAAACGCAGCCATTGGGTGCATTCAATACTACACTACTCACTAAGCGCTCAGTGAGTTCTTACATTTGATTGGTATATATTTTGAGTTCTAAAAGAATATGCCAATAGGATAGGTGAGCATTTGGATTGTAATAATACAGAATAGGCGCATTCTATCTTTACTGCTCATTAAATGTGGAAGAAAGATAGAGGTTTGGGTACAAACACAGGCAGCAGAATAGCAGAACGCAGAACGAGAGCGGAACTATAGAAGGAGGAGGGCATATTAGGTGGCGGCGAGACGCTGTGCGTTCGAGATCTGCGTATCTCTTTCGTTCCAGAAAGAAAAATATCGAGAGCGCGGTCTTGCTAGCCGAGACTCGAACCCGGGTCTTTCGCTTGCCGGGCGAACTGCTCTAAACCACTGAGCTACCTGACGCTCCACGCTCACGACACTTTCCTCTTCCTAGATAACGCTCAGAGATGCCGTTCGGAAGCGACATCTCTGGCGCGATCCCGAGCGCACGGCGACTACAGAGAGAAACAATGTTACTGTACCAAATGGTACAGCTGTCAGTCTCTCAAAGTCAAAGGTTGCTATCCTTTAAGGGCTATCGCACACAAATTGACATAACTGCATATGCATAGCATAAGACCATATGTACCAATGAGCATCGAGTATTAAGTCGCCATATTGGTGTTCGATGCTTAATATTCGATGCTCATTGGTCCATACGATCTTATGCTATGCATATGCAGTTATGTCAATTTGTGTGCGATAGCCCTAAGACCTGCTGTCCATATATGCCCGTCTCCACCGTTGCCCCTCCTCATCCGGTGCAAATAATACAAATAAGCCCTGGGGTCGACACCAATTTTTTGACAGCTCCCGGGTGTTTGCTCACTAAGCGCTTTTTCCGCTGAACGCCCATTTTCAATCCCTACATTCCCATGGAACGGAATGAGCGTAAGCGGGGAATATAGGATAATGATAAAATATATAAGAAAAATATAAAGTGTATTAACTAGATATATATTTATACAGAAATTTATAATTATAATAACATAAAAGTCTATGTATATTCACATTGTATTACTGTTAGTTCAGGTGCGTTTTAATATGGAATGTTTTTCCTCTAAATCAATTGTCTTCTCATATAAATTATAAATTTGCTGAAAAAAAATCCCATAAATTACTTTCGAAATAAATTGTAATATTTGCAAAATTAGTTGTTAGGAAGTTTTAACTTTTACATGGCTAATTTAAGTATTTAAAAACAAATATTAATATTACAAAGCATTAAATTAATAAGTGAGTATAAAAATAAAGTATTTCTGAGATTAAAAATCTACATTTATATAAGATGTAATTAATTTCCAGGAATAGCTTTTCTATATCTATGAAATATATCTTTATCAATGAAAATATTCAGATTACTGTACATATTTTCTCGTGAGAGTTTATATAATTTTTTATAATACCCTTGGTATGTGCAAGAGCCTGATCTCTTTCATCCCATATTGTGAGACCATCGCATGCACAAATCTTCTTTGTATTTTGAAACAATCCGGACGATCTGGCTATAATACCACAAGCCAACCTTATACAAGAAAATTTGATATTAAAACTATCAGAATAAACATATAATTTTATACCATGGTAATAATCATTTGATATACCTATTTCCACTGTTTCCATTTATCTTAGACTCTGGATTGTTACCTTTTCCCAGATCATCTGAATTCTCAGTGATAACAAGAGATCTACCAATGATATCAGGTATTTCAAGAAATTTATCTATTTTCCGAAATGTAGCTCTGCCTGTAGAATCTGCTAAGATGTTACCAAGATCACCAGCATGCTGTAATCACAAACAGAAATATTATTAAAATATTATAAAACATAAATAAGTTTTTTGAAACTTACTCTTTCAGATAGTTTATTCTCAGGATCTCCATGTAAGGAATTATTTGGATTGTAGTGCTCACCTACACTATATAATAATTAAATTTGCATAAAGTGTCGACTTAGAAATAAACCTTTGTAAGCAGATTTACCTGTCACAGCCTTTAGATATATCACCACACTCATGTATATGTATACCATGTGTACCTGGGGCTAATCCATCAACTGTACCATCTATAACACATCCCTTTGGAGTTTGTGCAAACCTTATTACTCCTTTCACTAGATTATCTATACTGTATCCTGAATTTCCACCTAACATTGACACTGCGCTCAATTCATCTACAAATATTAAATTTAATGCTATTACAACTGTAAAAAATAGTCATGTTACATATAGCTCAAGTTCTGAAGTTATACATTCAATCTTTATATATAGTAGCACAATAAAGGAATATGTTTAAACCTCCATATCCTTTCAATACTGCCTGCCTTCCAGTTTTTTCAATTCTTTCTTGTATGACAGAATAAGGTAGATTTGTTTCAACAACGACAGTGCCATGTTCTAACGATATATCAATGTTTTGAATACCTTCCATATCTGTTATACTCTCGCGAATTGCGTTAACGCATTTCTGGCATGTCATATGCACAGCAAACTCAATCTGTCAAAATAACGTCATTATATAATTCGTAGGAATAATAGCAAGATATATATCCTATTTTGCTGGATTAACAAATATGAACAATAATTACTCACTCTTGCTAAAGCCATTTGCGTAAGCAAGTATTTGTATCAACGTGACAGAGCAAATTTTCATATACTGGTTATGTATTCTATAGAATAACTTTGCATTTTTGTTTATTTAGCAGGTTATAATACCCACACAGATGACAACCAATAATGGCTGCGTTCAGCAAAAAAGGTAGCTTAATAAGAGTCTTCCGCTGCGCTGGTATCAACTTTGCTACTGTGTAAAATTTTCTGCTGAACGACATCAGCAGTTTATATTTTTCCAACATGTTTACTAAATCACTATTTTTTCCAACAGAATTTCAATATGCTGGATAGCTTAGTAAATATATTGGAAAAGGGTAAACCGCTAAAGGCATTTTTTCGTTTCGTAACCACGATACCGTTTGGTTTGTTGATTTGGTCCACTTAACGCTCGCAACACCTCGAGCAACAAAGATAGAATGACGCTCGCGGCGTTGCGAGCGTTAAGTGGACCAAACTAACCAACCAAATGCTACCGTGGTTACGAAACGAAAAAACGCCTTCAGGGACGTCTACATTGGAAGTAAATAGCAAGAAGTAAGAAGTAAGAGTAAGAAATTGACCAACTACAGTCGAATGTGAGAAGAATAATCAACTATGATTGGTCAATTTCTTATTCTTACTTCCTACTTCTTACTGCTTACTTCCAATGTAGACATCCCTTAAGCGTCTTCTACAATGGCAGTAGGAGTAGTAGTAAGAAATAAGCAGTAAGCAAATTGACCAATTCCATTCTTACGTTTCAAAACTAATCGATTGTGATTGGTCTATTTACTTACTGCTTATTTCTTACTACTACTCCTACTGCCATTGTAGAAGACGCTTTAAGTTTTACTGCGCAATGAAAATTACGTATACGCAAAAATTTCAAGAATATGGGTCCAGTTCCACAATCTCCGTTTAACTTTAACTACCGGTTAAGTCTCAACAGTGATTGATTAATTCTAATTAACTTTTCTTAACGCTAAATGCGATTGGTCAAGTTCAATGAAATAATCGGTTAAGTTAAAGGGACGTCTATTTACTTCCAATGTAGACGTCCCTTTAAGGGACATCTACATTGGAAGTAAGTAGTAAAAGTAGGAAATAAGAGTAAGAAATTGACCAACTACAGTCGAATGTGAGAAGAATAATCAACTATGATTGATCAATTTCTTACTCTTACTTCCTACTTCTTACTGCTTACTTCCAATGTAGACTTCCTTTAACTATAGGTTGTGGAATTGGGTCTAAAGCGCTTTACGCTGGCAGGGGTGCGTTCGAAAACATAACCTAGGTGCTCCCGCTGTGTTGGAGTAAGAGAGATACGAGAGTGAGATAAAGAGAGAGAAAGAGGACTAGAGTGACGTTTCCGAACGCACTCCAGCACAACACAATGGGCGCATTCAGTAGAAAAAGCGCTCAGTGAGCAATCAACGATTATTGGTTCTTGCTATTAGATCCCTAAATCTAGACCAATTACATTGGCCGCGTTCAGTAGAACAAGTGATCAGTAAGCGCTCAGTGAGCTCTTGTATCTGATTGGAGTATAGTTGGAGATCTAAAAGAATATGCCAAATCATATACAAGAGCTCCCTGAGCGCTTACTGATCACTTGTTCTACTGAACGCGGCCATTGACAAATTACTCAACTGTTGTGCAACTGTTGAGTCTGCTGAATGCAGCCATTGGCCGTGTTCAGTAGAACAAGTGATCAGTAAGCGCTCAGAGAGCTCTTGTATATGATTTGGCATATTCTTTTAGATCTCCAACTATACTCCAATCAGATGCAAGAGCTCACTGAGCGCTTACTGATCACTTGTTCTACGCGGCCATTGAGTTGTTCAGCAGACATAACAGTTGTACAACTGTTGAGTGATTCGTAAACGTAATTGGTCTAGGGGACCAACAGAATAAACCAATAAACATCGAGTGCTCACTGAGCATTTTTATCTGCTGAACGTGCCTTTTACATTGTAGATCAAGCCTTAAGCCCATTCTACAATTGCGTGAACGTGGTTGTAAGTGGTTGTATGTGATTACGACACCAATCAGAATAAAGCAATCAGTAAATAAAACATTCGGATTGGTTGACTCTTACGACACGACTACGCTTACGCAATTGTAGAATGGGCTTTAGGGGCGCCGCACACAATTGAGATAACAGTAACGTAAGACGTACCGTAAGAATTGACCAATCACTTTGAATATCGTCGACCGTAAGGTCGCCATTTTTGTGAATACTCGATTGTAATTGGTCCATTTTTACGGTACATTTTACGTTACTGTTATGTCAATTCGTGTGCGGCGCCCCTAAAGTTCTAGAAATCTGATTTTCCTATTGGATACCGTATAAATTTTGGATGCAATGTAAATCCTCCATTAGACAGAAAACTGGTCAGTTCGGACATTCGTCGTCAGTGACGCTGCCTTCCCAAGCCTTTTATTTCGGAAACGGTCTGATACCATCCCTCATTTGCGAAACTGTACACTTCGTAAAGTAATTGCTGATAATTGTCGCACGCGTCAGTTATATTATCAAAAATACGAGCTGTACGAGCTGTACGGTAACTAGTTTATGGTTAGATAACGTAGTCTGCAAGTTTGAGACTGCGGTGATCCTCGTTAGTCCCGCGCGAATAAGTCTTGCGTACTTCTTCTGGATAATCGACGTTGCAAGAACATGTTGCGAAAATACGACGAAAATGGACGTAGCATTTTTTGAAGCATTTTCGGATAATTCTTCGCGATAGCGACGTATAAGTGGTGCTTTTCGTTTATCGGCGTTTCATTGACAAAACAACTTGTGATTTGCTTCCAAAAATGTCTGTGACCTTTGCACAACGCGGCAGGCCACCTCCAAATACTGCTCAAATACAAAAGGTAAGGAAACTGCGGTAACTTTCCAAAAGAACGATAATATTTTATGTGTTTCTGATAATTAAAATATATTTATGTGAAGTATGCATTTGCAATTTTGAGTTTTGCGATTGTCTGTATGTGTTTATATATTTCTTTAGATGCTCGATGAAAATAGCCAACTTATACAAACAATACAGGAGTATCAGAATAAGGGCAAGGCACAGGAATGTATACAGTAAGCAACTAGTATTTATATTAAAGAGTATAGTTTTTATTTTTTTAATATACACTAAGATATATAAAATGCAGAGAAGATTGATATTAGGGAAAAATTTATTATATTTAATATGTTACATTTAATTTTCAGATATCAACAGATGTTACATCGTAACTTGGTATATCTAGCAACTATTGCAGATGCAAACCAAAATATTCAAGCTTTATTACCTGTAAGTGATATTGTTTAATATATATAATAAAATTAATATGAGAAAGATAGGATATATTAAAATCTTATAAACAATTATAGAATTTCTAATTGATTCTTCTTGTTTTAAGCCACCTCAACCTATTCCCAATGGTCCTCAGCATGGCATGATGAATCCTCAAGGGCTTCCAAGTGGTCCAGGAGGTACAGCTGGCCCTGGAGGAGAGATAACTCCAAATACACAGCCACCTATGCCAATGTCAACCTTTAATCAAGGCCAACCAATGGCACAAGGTGGTTATCGTGGGCCTGTGATGCCTGGCCAAGGACCTACCATAAACAGTATGTAACATTCATAATTTAAGTTATCCTCTATCAAAGAATTTTAATTCATCTATTCTAATTCAAATTTAATTTTGTTCAAATGATAACCGCATGTTATTCTTATTTGAAGTAAAATTATATTTAACATGTAAGTAGTTGGTGCTTTATATATGCTATCTGCTATTGTAATCTATTAATATTCACAGGGCCTCCAGCTGCACCTGGTCCACAGCAATACAGAGGTCCGCAAGGTTATCCACAGCAGCCTTCTCAACAAGGATATCCTGCTCAATATACCAATCAGAATCCTGGGTCAAATTATCAAGGGCCACAAGGATCTGCATACACACCTGGTCAGCCAAATCAGTACGGACCACCAAATACTTCTCAACAACAAGGATATACTGCAGCAACGCAGCCAAATTATGGTCCTCCGACTACCGTGAATAGCTATGGCCCACAACCGGGTGGTTATCCACCTCCGGGCACGACGCAGCCACCTTCTGGATACGGACCACCACCGCCAAATCAACAAGGCTATCCTCCGTCTAATGCTTCACAGCAAAATTTCTCATCAGGTAGTCAACAACAACAACAACCGGGACAGTATGGCAGCCCTAGTCCACAACCAAATTATCAACAGCCTCCGTCCCAAGCGCCACCTCAAAACGCGTACGCCGCTGGACAACCTGGAAGTTATCCCCCTCCCTCCTCTCAGGCGTACGCGAACAATGTTCCACCACAAAATTATCCACCGCCTCCGACAACCAGCGCGACTCAACCCCCTCAACCCGGCTCTCAACAAAATGCGGGCCCGCAGCCCAACTATGTTAGCCAACCGAGTCCAGGTCCCGGCGCGACGCAATATGGCCCCGCATCTACATCTCCGCCATTTAGCACTTCCTCTGCGAGTGGTGGTAATACTTACGCCCAAAGCAGTCAGCCGACGAGCACGCCGTCTGCCTCGACACAGACATATCCGCCAAGTAGCGGCCCGCCACCAACGTCGCAGGGTGGAAGTTACGCTCCCCCAGTACCGGCTCCCTCTGGCTACCCCGTTCATCAAACACCTCATCCGACGTCGCACCCACCACACCCGCCGCCGCATCAATCACCTCATCAACCACCGCACCCCCCGCATCAGCCACCTCATCAACCATCTCATCAGACATCTCATCAGCCAACTTCACATCAACCGCCCCATCAACCACCACAACAATCTCAGCAACAGTCGCAAACAGCTCCGCAGACGCAACAGCAACCATCTCAGACCTCGGCTCCAAGTGGATTTCAACCGCCATCCGGCCCGCCGCAAGGTCCCGCTCCACCTCCGGGCCCTCAACAACAACCCGCATATGGACCGACCACGACGCAAACGTATGTGCCGCCGACACCAGGAGGACAGCCACAGGTATTTTTTGTGCATATATTTTGTTCAATTCAGCAGCATTCAGATTCACTAATCGTTTTATGACAATGTTGCATGTTGTACAGTGACTTGCAAAAATGTTTAAACACAATGAAGTTGAGCTCACCAAACTGTCAAAATTGGGAAGTATTATCGATGGACTTAGACAATAATAATATAATTAATAGGATAATTAAGAACACTGAATAATAACAATACTAATAATTAATAATGTAATTATTGAGTAAGCCTGTCAATAACACTGTCAGACAGTGATTTTGTCTTTGGCTTGTGAGATATGATCTCCAATGTATTTTTTTACGCTGAATACAATACTGTTCTCAGAATTTGCCTGTTACGTCACATTTCCGAGAAAATAGAAGTAGCATAAGCTAAAAAAAGACGATTTTGGCCATATTTTAAATGGTATTGCGGTCAAGGAAAATTTATTTTTCCAGTTTTGACTACACTATTTTAAATTGCTATCTTCCAGCTTCAAAATGCATTTCTGTTCGTTTTTGTACGATTTTTTAAAGCCAACGTGGAAGTTACTGTCTGGCGCTTTACCGAAAACACGCGTCTAAGCGTGACCTATGACATTATCACGCTATTGCGGCCTTATTAGTCATTTTTGACTTATATTACCTGTTTTCTCATAATTTTGACATGATGGTCAGATTTGGACAACAAATTCGTGTTCAGCAGGCAAAAAAACATCAAAAATGACTATTTACTCATATGATAAAAGTGGTATTGTACAGTGATATTGATGTTGAGCGCGCACGACCAGTGTTTTTAATTTTAACTAAATCTCGAAAACAAACAATCATGGCGAAACAAAACAAAATGCATTTTAAAGCTAAAAGTTGATACTTTTGCATAGCATTAACGAAATTTGGAGAAAAAATTTGCTGTCGGTGGTATAACGTCATGAATACCCTGGAAATCGTCATTTTTCCCCTTTTACGCTATTTTTCTAAAAATTGTGACGTGATAGAATTTTTCTGCGAACGGATTCGAATTCAGCGGCCAAAAATCTTCGGAAAATAACACTCCGTAATTCAAAGACAAAAAAATCAAATTTTGTCAGACAGTGTAATGATTTTCAATTTTCACACTTTGGTAAGTTCCCAACTTTATTATGTCTAAACTATTTTGCAACTCACTGTACAATGCAATTTTATTAGCAATTTTTCGTTAAATAACTTATTCTTTCTCTACAAACTATTTTTATGTATGTACTCAATATTTTAGATATTGTGTTTGCAACAAAACTTTATTTTATAAGATGTATTGAGAGAAAGAGAGGGAAAGTAACTAAGTAGTACATCAACATGAAATTTCACCATCTTGTATTTATACATCCATAATTGAGAAGTATATATTCTGAATTGTAGATTTATACTCCTCATCCACCACAAGGAGGTCAACATTATGGACATCCGCAGTATCCTCCCCAAAGTTATCCTCCACCGCCAGCAGGACAAGGATATCCACAATATCCGCCACGACCACCTGGTGGACATATGCCTCCCCCGCCTGGGCCACAAGGACCACCTCCACCCAATCAGTATGGTGGTTATGGTTATCAACCACCTACACAATAAAGTATATTAATATAAATTCTTGCATTATTCGTATTAATATAAATAATTCACTAATTTTTCATTAGTCTTTTTGTGAAAAGAATTATTTAAAAAAAGAAAAACTATCTTGATTTTTTATAAATTATCTAAAATCCTGATGAAAAGTTTATAGATGGAAAATCATACAAATTATTGGAAATTGCTATGAAAAAAACTTTGTAATCTTTATAGGATTGTGTTTACAGTTTTTTTGACAGTTTTTAATATTAACATACGTATTTTAGTGTGTTAATATGTAGTAATACATAATATCGTGTTTTACATTATATACGTATATACTAGTTTAATAGACTCTACTTAAAAATTGTTTGTTTTTATATTACTTACACTAGCTGTATTGTTAGACCTCGGTGAAGTGAGTATGCCAAATATCTCGAATGGCTTTTAACTCTTACGACAAAACTCTCGTAATGCGTAAAAAACATATACACATAAAAAATCGATAATTTATTATGTTTTTCTAGATAATTTATTATCTAAATTTTTCACCTGACTTATGTTATCTATATACACATAATATACATATTTATCACAGATTTATTATTATGCTTGTAATTTTTCATATTTTATGATTTACACGTACAGAAAAAGGCTAATTTTCGAATTTTATTTTTACTACGAATACATAAATATTTTTTTTAGTTTATAGCTAAAGTTTGAATATATAAATTGTAGAATTGTTATATAAATCATATACTTTTTGCATACACATACACGCTCACGTATCACCGTCAAAATATAAACATTCATGACATTATGTTAAAAATTCACTCAACGTGTTATAATTTAGCGTATTAGTTATTGTGATCGCGGTCTCCCGTTGGTGAGTTTATACATTCACTTATAAGTGCCAATTATGATCTAATTCTACGAATGTTACTTCACCGTTGGATAATTAAAATCCAATTCACAGATCGCTATTTGGACAACAACGAAAGCTACACAATTTATTCACTGATCCAAAGAATCCGTCGATGAGAGATTTATTCCGTAGTTTACCATCAGTTTATCATCTGGACATAACGTTCGATGGGAGACCATATACAAACGCCATCGATTGTGACTCAAAGTTTATAAAACAGTTTAATTATTGTATGTATACATTATTGTATCTGGATACCATTTTTCTGAACTTTGTTCTTAGTTATTTGATATTGTAAATCATTGGTGAGGATATTATTTATATATGAAATCTGCGCATTAATTATTGTGGTAAGGCTCTTATTTGCCATTCCGTTTCGTGTTGAATCCACTTTCATAAGCGCTGTATTCAACTATTTACAAAGTTTATTGTCACTATGACAATAGAGCATATAATGCTATGATGCTACTGAAGTTGATAACACAAACGTGAATGTTTGATTTATTTGCATATTGTAATGAAATTTAACTTCATAATCGATATAATACGAATATGAATATAAATTTCTCCATGTTACATATTTATCCTATAAATATTTTTCAAAGGAGATGTTGATAATTGTACAAATGATGTATCTTGTTCGAGCTCTCGACACGTTTTTAGATTAAATAAATGAAAACTTAAATGGTATATAAAAATAGCGAAAACAGGTTGTACAAGCACATCGTAAAAAAAAAGAAAAAAGATTTATCAAATATTAGAAGACTGCCTGTTTTTTTTTTTTTTTTTTTTTTTCAAGTTCGAACTCATATCCCCTTTTTATTTTTGACATTAGTGATAGGTACAAAATCTTAGTGAAGAAATATGTATCTTTATACATTTATGATACGTAATACTCGTATGACAATGATATGGATCGGTTAAATCTTCACTGTACTACTACACTGTAGTAAATTATAGAAAGACGTTAAACAAACGTGTTAAATTACAATTCATCTCTGAGGTTTAAATGGCTAAGATGACATTGACAGGAATGACTAGGTTGTGGTACTTCTTCCATGTTACTCAGTACTTTAACTTTACTCCTTAAGCGTTTACTCCATTCCTGAAATGTAAAGATTATATCATTTGGCGAATTATATCCGAGAAGAATATATAAAATAGGGCTTTCTCATACATGAAATAAAATTGTATAGTAACACAATATATCACGTGGTAATAAATTATCCCTCGCAAATTGTCTGGCAGTTTTAGCAATCTTCAATACATCCTTGTCGTGTTCCTTTGCCCATCGAATTTTTTCAGTCAGATCCGAAAGATCACTTTTTACAGGCACATAATGTAATCCGGGTGTAAGATCTTTGTAAAAAAATTCGTAATATTTGGATTCTTGCTTGAACACTAAAGAATCTCCAGAGAGCAAATACGGGAATCGATATGCTGCTACTGTACCATCGATGTTCAGTTGATATTTATACTATAAAAAAAATTATATCAAGTCGGATATAAGACCACATCAATGTATTTACATCTCAATTCTTGCATTACATTTTTTTCTTAACAATGTAAAAACTTAGAACTTACTCTTGTACTTTATATATTTAAAAGGAGATGAGAATTCAACTGATATGATTAATCTTATAATCTTATAACTATAGCTATGAGAATATAGTGCCGAATTTGATTTCTCTGAAAAGAATTTAACTCTTACATTTACCTTGAAAAAGCTGAAAAACGACACATAACTTTGTGCAGGTCCATATTTATCTATTTCATCTTTAAAGAAGAAGAAGTTAACAATGGAGACATTGAAGAGTTCTGGATGTTTTCTTGAGATATCTATTAAATCAAGACGTTCCCTTCTGGAATCGCGTCCACGCCAAAATAATTGTTCGATCTTGTTTTCCCACGGCAAATCAGTGTTACCTTGCACAGAGAGTGTATCTAACATTTCCCTGTTTTATAAGCGTATAATATTACAGGTAAGATCATTTTTTTCTAACATTATCAATTTCTTCCTAATATTATCAATGTATGTTATACCTTCCCATCGCCTCCAGAGATGATTGTGTGATATCATATGTAGGCATAACGATGTCTCTCGTATCTTCGGAGCCGCACCATGAAAAAACAGGATATAGCGGGCCTTTATTGGGGACAAGCGGCCAGTCGCCCAAATTCACAAAGAATTCAATATCTGGCAATAGTATTTTGCGCGCGAGAGACAACAATATAGCATCCATAAATATCTTAAAGCCAACATACTGGCCGTAACATTGCCTATAAATCTAATTTATTCTCTCTAGTCCAAATTCAGATTTATAAGTAAATACGAATTATATATATTGATGGGTATAACATAATTACTCTGTTGGTTTTCAGTATGTAATGACAAATGCTGACACTGGTCGGCTGGTCATATTTCTTAATAATGCTTTGACGTATTTTATCAAAATCAACATTTGGAAATTGAGCAAGATCATGATGCATTTGAGTATAATTTCTTTGACATCGATAATTGTCTAACCAATTAGAGATTGATAGATTTGGACAGTAGCATTCTTCTTCATAAACAGGCCCTTAAAAGATATTTTTGTCATTTAAGATCTTTCAGATTTTGCATTTTATAAAAGATACATACCTTTAATCTCTGAATGAGATATTGGTAGTTCTTTTCCTTTAATCTTTACTTTAATCTTAATGTTCAAGCAAGTATTAAAAACCTTGTAGCGTAATATAAAACTCCCATCTTTACAGTCAAAAAGTTGAGTCCAAATGCGACATGGTGAACCATCAAGTGATTGTCCTTGTACTAACCCATTAACTATATTTTCACCAGGAGATTGTGTCAAACTAAAATATATGATAATACAAATATATATTTATATATATTTATATAAATTATGTAATTTATTCTAAAGTATAAATAATATATATTCATAATTTATTTTTTAGAAAAATATCATTTGTCACAACAAAATTGTTTATATCTTTAAAAAAAGTAATTATTATATAATCTGGTAAAAAATGTTATTAAATACTGTTATTATAAATATTTTTATATATTAAATTAAATTAATATTAATTGATTTAGACTAACTTTTTTCCATGTAGATCAGCGAGTTGTAAAAAGATGTATCTTGCACGCATTGTAATTTCTGCTGGTTTTAATCCTGGACCCCAAATTATCGTTTTCAATGGATCTACTTCAACATTCCTTGCTCCCACATACATTAATATCACTAAGAATGTTATTAGTTGCATAATTTTTAAAAATATTTACAGTAATTGTGAAAAAAAGAGAGAGGCCTAACCTCATCGATTTTACTAAAATTTAGTAATATAGTATATTTTGATGTGTAAAAACCGAATCTAGAAAACAAAATCGTTACTCTACACGGCGAAGCAAGATATTAATCGTAAAAGTTGCACACTATTCAAGGTTAGGAAACCTGTCATGTCGACGATGCACTGATATCAGTGTTGCCGCGGCTCTAAACATTTATTTACCAGATTTCTGCTTCAAAAATCACCAAATTACAACTTTTTCACTAGATTTTATAAATGTATATAAATTCGAATAAAAAAACAATTTTAATGATTTTTGATGTTTTAATAAGCATATTTAAACATAAATATAAACAAAATTAATATAATATATTTAAACATTCATGAAAATATAGAAACATACTCGTAAATAGAGAGAGAGAGAGAGAGAGAGAGAGAGAGAGAGAGAGAGAGAGAGAGAGAAGGGAAAACTTATTTTGTAATTAGTTTTAGAGTATTGTAAATTGTTACTAATGGCAAATTCGATTGAATGCTCTAGTGCGTAGTGAGTGTACACTAAACTTGTTTATAATTCGTTCTTATATTTAATAGATAGACTACATTCAACAAACTAACGCAACAGTGCATAGTGAGATTCTTTAATATGATTAGTTTATACCAATATTTAGATCCAATGAGGAAGTAGAAACAAGATCAATCATATTAAAGAATCTTATAATTGCGAAATTGCTTTGACTGCGTCGAAAAAGGTGGGACCCGATTGACCACGATACGATTAGACACAGATTGTAATGATTGGTTCGACCTAGTAATTTTTTTCATCAGTTGGTTGTGTCCAATCGTACAGTGGTCAATCGGGACGCTCCGTCGAAAATATCACCCTTATGTATTATATCAAGTGTCTTTATGTATCATCTTATCCTTGTTTAATATTCGATGAACAATAATGGCTCCTGTACACAGGGCGCGGTAATGCTTGCCGCGCGACGGAAGTCCGTGCAACAGCCAATCAATATGTTGTTTTTCCGTAAGAGCTAGAAGGTTATTACGGAAAGCAGCATATTGATTGGCTGTCGCGCGAACTTCCGCCGCGCGGCAAGCATTACCGCGTCCTGTGTGCAGGAGCCATAAGAATAAAATAATATGTGGAAATACTCGGGTAATATTTCCATTTTTATCACCAAATAAAGAAAGTTATTCACCAATCACCAAAAGATCTTAAAAATCTCCAAAATGGTGAAAAATCATCAACAACCCTGATTGACATATGAGTATGCGCAGTAATATCTAGTCTGTTCTTTGTAGCTGCACTGTTGTACAATTTTAAGTATATTAAACTACAATCTCTCTTTCGCCTTACTAAATTGATGTGAGTTTAATATATACTAAGATACAAGATTCTGAAAATATTAGCAAAGGCCCCTGCGCAAGGTATGTGTTACATTAAATTATCACTAAAATCTATACATTTTATTGCAGATTTAATCCCAAACTTTGCGTAGGGGCAATCTTTTTTCGGTATTTACGATTTTTAATATATTGTAGATTCATTTATTTAGTAAGACGAAGAGAATGTTCTACTAAATCTTCGCCTTACTAGATATATATATGAGTCTACTAAAATAGATACTGAAAAGATTAACAAGACCCCTAGGATGTATGAATCACACAAAAACAACATGCTTAATGCACTATGCGAGATGTATTTTTCTTTTTTTTTTTTAGAAGGTTATATTTGACAAATCGGGGGAGGCTTCGCCCTGATTTTTTAAAATATATTTTAGATTATTTCTAAAGGCTGTAATAACTATAACTTTTTCCAAAATATAGATTAATGCTGTTAGAATGTCTTATCAGGAGCCTAGAGTCATAAGATGAGAGAGAAAGAGTCGTAAGAAAGAGATTGGTTTACATCAGTAGTAACGTAAGCTCCGGTTTAATCGAGGTTAAAATTTCATTTTCCAAACACCGATCAATGGCGTTGAGGAATTTGTCTTATCAGGCGTCTAAAGCCATTATTGAGTAAGAGAGATCAGCAATAACATTACTAATAATAAGAGTATTTTGTTTCGTCGCGAGGCTGAGAACTCGTTATGTTCCTACTAAAAGTATTTATCCGACAAAAATAAATGGTTCTGTGATTATGGAAGTTTCTCCTCAATCAGAACAATATCTATTTTTTTCATTGCAAAACATGTTAAGAATTCCGATGAGCTGAAAATCAGCCTTTATATCAGTCTTACCTGTGATATCGTAGACATTGCTTTTTCTTATAACACAAACATATTTGCTTTTAGAGTCACTAAGAAAATAAATATATATTTGACTTTGAATACTTTTATATTTACATTTCAGTAAGACTGGCCAAAGAAAGAGAGAGGAGTAGAAATTCCAGGTCATAGAAGAAAAATTATATGTTGTTTAATTTCAAAGAAAAAAACAAAAAAAACATGACTTAATTGTTAATTAATTTATTTAGAAAAATCGGTCCTTAACAAACTGTGCCGTATGTTATATATATTTTTCAACTAGTAGCAGATACAAAGCAGTGGTGTGTTTGTAATGTTGTGTTTGTATTATTGATTTTTAGGAAAGGACTTTGTTTTTGTCTGAGATGGAAAGGACTTTATTGCCAGAATGTAATTTTGTATAAATAATAAGCCAATATATATTTGACTTGCTTAAAACATAACAAAATACACAAAGTATAAACTTTTTTGTGATTCCTACTTAACACATAATGCAGTGCAAAATCGACGATTTACCCGACGAATTGTTGGAGTATATTTTAAGCTTAGTACCACCTTACAAAACCCTTGAATCTTGCAAGTTTGTATGCAAAAGGTGGCGACGTACCACAGAAGGTATGCTTACTTTCCCTCTTTTTATTCTATATGTTTATATATATATGTATATGTATATTTTATTATATGTGCATATACATTTAGTAAGAAAGAAATAGATATGCATATATAATGTAACAGAGAAATAGATATATATTGTACATTAGTACAAAATAGATTTTTCACTACTGATACTGACTTAAGTATATTTTGTTAACAGTTGTAATAGCACGCAATGAAGCTCATTTTCAAAGATCTGTAGCTGTTGGATCCTTATTATGGTATTCATTGCCATCTATACATGGACCACCTACAATTGGCAAGAGACATTCACATTCAGCATGTATATACGACAACTCTATGTACGTGTTTGGTGGCTGCACATCTACTTGGACAACATTCAATGATTTGTGGCAATTAGATCTAGATACAAGAACTTGGATGAGACCAATCACTATGGGTAGCTATCCATCGCCTAAAGCATGTGCAACTATGCTTTATTATCAGAAGAACTTTATTTTGTTTGGTGGTTGGTCCTATCCAGTGCCATATCCTTTACATCAGGTAAATATTCAATAAAAAAAACAAAATCCTTTTAGTTGATGCAATTATACTTAAAATATTATTTATTATTGAATTTACATTATTATTTAAGGAATTTTTATTAAAGTTAAACACATAAAACAAATTTAAATTTTACTTATTTTTATATATTTACAGCAAAGGAGATTATTTAATGAATTACATATATACTCTATAGAATCAAATAAGTGGACTGCTATAGATACATTGCTAACTCCACCACCAATGTCTGCACATTCTGCATCAATACATGGAAATACAATGGTTGTTTTTGGTGGTGTTTGTGATGGAGAGAGGTATATTTCTATAAAATTACTAATATATATTGATACATTATTCATATATTTCTTTCAACATTGTTTATATTATTTTGTACCAGTTCCAACGACGTGTGGTGTTTTAATCTGGATTCGTATCGTTGGTATAAACGAAATATTAATATCACGTTAGGAAATGTATTTCCAGAACCACGTTATGGACAATCTCAGATTGAACTCGGAGAAAAACATCTTCTCATTCTCGGTAAGACATTCCCAATTGATCACAAAATTGATTTAACAAAATTCCCAATTGATCACAAAATTTTTTAACATTGGAACAAATACTATTCTTCTTAGTTTACTTTGTAATTTAAATTTCAGAAAAAAAGTCTTTTCTCTTATGTATGTGTGTAAGAGGATTTTGCACACTTTTAAAAGATAATGAAATTGATTTTTATTTATAAATATTGAGATAGTTAAATGCTTAACTAAATGTTGTCAGGAGGTTGCACAGGACCAAACACTCCTATGAATGATGCCTGGTTGTTGAAAATGGAAGGAGCAATCTGGATGTGGAAGAAAGTTACTATGCGTCATACAGAATGGGCACCAACGCGTATCTGGTGTGATCAAGCTTGTAAGGTAATATATTAAAAAAAAAAATATTTTCTTCAAATAAAAATACTTTAAATTTGAATGCAAATTATTTTAGTTACATACTATAATTTCTTGAATATAAATAATTTTGGAGCTGTAAATTTATACATGTTAGATGAATACTCATAATGCTATTATTTATTATAGGTGGGGAATTATGTTATTGTACTCAGTAAAAATAAACGTCAGACCAAACCGAATGATATGAGTATCTCGTTAAAAAAAACTGCTTGTCAAAGGAGCACTTCACCACGTAGTGAGTCAAGTCCTTTACATGGAAGGTTGGTATTTATAAGTATCGCATAATCTTATGCGACATTTTTATCGTTATTATTAAGAGTTATATAATCATATAATCATTATATTAATGGAAATATTTTTTGCAATATTATTATTCAGATATTTTTCCTAGGTCGGGAAATTTATCCACTCCAGATAGGGATGAAAACGTAAATGGACGGCATGGAGCATTTTCTAGGTCACATTTGCAAAATGCATGCACTTCATCACATGCACCCAATATCTCAAAAGTGATATCAGTGTATAATGATAATTCTTTGAGTATGGCCGCATTTCGTGATCAACGTTCACATAGTAATTTAAACACGATTAGAGAACGTCGATTGGAATCGGTAAGAAGAATGGAGGAAAAAATTAAGAGACCACAAACAAAAATATCGAAAAAAATTGATAGCATTGAAAAAAACGCACAAGCGATAGCATCGAAAAAAACCGAGAATACATTATCTATATTCGTATTAGATATTACGAAAGTTCTAGATGATTGTAGTGCTTCGTGGATCCCCTTTAAGCAAGATAATTATTCGGGTCCCGATGAAAGGATCCTATACTCTCTTGTAGCAGGAAAAGGAGAGTTAATAGTCTTTGGTGGTATTTGTAGGCAACAAATGACAATACATAGAAATAGTCTAAACGACGAGGTGTATAATGATCTCCATTTTATAAGTCCACCTCGGTATGATATTTAATATGCATTAATTATCAAAATATTAACATTTTGTTTATAGTAAATTATTATCTTTTGTATCTCTTTTCACATCGAAGTGTTATGAAAAGTGAATAACTGTCTTATCATATAAGTTTTGTATCAACGTTAAAACCGCGTTAATTCAAATTGATATAAAAACGTACGTTAATTATAATAAAATATTATAATAAACTTACATTATGAAATATTTGAGTTATATATTTAATATTACAATTATTCTGTGCAATACATAATGTACAAATTGATCTTGTTTAGTATGTATTATATTCATGTACGTTGTTATTTACTGATATAAAATCTTACTACTTTTAAATTCTGTAAGTTCGATATATCTATGAAATAAATGTCGATATTTATGTGGTACTTTCAGAAAGCATAAATGCATATTTTTATAAATATGTTACAAAATTTAAAAAACTGTAATTGATACAATAGTATATTTTATGTATAAGATTATATAATTGTTACACATTTTTTTCAATTATGCAATCTGTGAAGCTTTTAATCGTCTTCAGCTTCAGCTGCTTTTAAACTACCAAATACTTGTGATGGTATGGCTTGTTTTTCAATCGGTATGTCTAAAAATAAATAAGGCATTAAAAATTTGAATAACTTGTTGACTAATACAGAATCTATTTGAATTTAAATTTAGAAGTGCAAGCAGATAAAATATACTTTTTATTTTTTTTTCTCTTAAAATTCTTGGTTAGATAAAAATCTTATCAAAATTTAATATCACGTGTACGACTGTATAATCTAACATTGAGCAAAAGAGATAACTACTTCTACATACACTTGGATGTAATAAAATATTCCATAAATATAAATTTATTTATAAATATACTGTTCTTATATATGTATATATATACCTTCTTCAACTTCTGCATCATTTTCATCTTCGTCGTCCATGTCAATATCGATTTCGTCCGGATTATTTACGTGGGATTCTGGCTTACCATCTTTCTCAGTTACACCACGCACAAATTTGATACTTTCTTTAACACTACTGATATTATCTACAATTAAGAAATTTTTAAGGTAAAATATAATAAGCTTTCTCTTTTTTCCTTTAAGATAAAAATATATTCATCAAATGGGAAGAAAGAAGTTAATGTTAATCTCTTATTAATGTTACCTGTACTTGACGAAATTTTACTATCTAGTAAGCGCATAGCATCAACTGGAATATCTGATACTTGATTGGATGCATTATTCAACATTTGTGCAGACATCATATTCACTTGAGTATTGTACATAGCCTGCACACTACGCTTAATTCGAAGCATTTCACGCATCGTATCCTCATTTCCATGTCTAACTTCGAATTCTTTCCAAACTTGCCAGAAGTTCGATGTAACCTAAAATTAATTTAATGCGCAAGTAAATTATAGTGCAATAAGAGATTTAAATTAACAGATATTTATATTATAAATATAGTATCATACTCTTGGATCACATATTTGACTACAGTATGCGTATATCCCTCTTGCTCTATCTACTTCTCCTAATTTCGTTTCCATTTCTGCAAATCTCAAACACATTTCTCTAGTATTCTCATCGTTCAAAACTTCTATGGCTTTCTCATATATTTGCCGAGTTTTTGGTACTCCATAGATGTCTGCTGCTTTCTTTATGTATATGTTAAACATCTGAAAATTGAAAAATTAATATTTAAATCTCCTGAAGTCGATCCATTTTTTCATTAAATAATAAACATAAAGAATGCTTTAATTACAAAATATGTAAATATACGAATATAAACTATCAATTAAAAAATTTATTTTTCTAAAATTACATAATATATATGTATTTATAGTAAGAGAAAAATGTAATATTACATCAAATCTTTCCTCTGGCAGAACAGCATTTGTTGCTCGCTCATATACAGACATAGCATGTCTTGCTAAGCCATGTTCTTCTTCCAACTTTGCATATAACAAATATAAAGCTACAATAAATAAAATTCAGTTATTTTCTTGCCACATATATATTTATCAAATAACATATATATATCAGATAAATTATCACATTTATCAGATAAATTATACCTTTAGCATATTTCGGTGGACAATGTTCTAAACATTGCTCAAATAGATCCCTAGTACGCTCTAATTTCGTACCGCCATAACGTTTCAAAAATTTCGTCAAGTAGGTGTTCCAAATGTCATAAACATTAGGCCATTTGAACAATGCAATACCTTTCTCATAAGCCTAAAAATAGACTTGTTTAATGCTATCAGATTAATAAATGTGAATAAAATTAATGAAAAGTATTCTACATACTCTAAATGCTTCTTCGAAGTAGTTGTTTTCCTCCAGGAACAGTCCGTAATTAATAATAATTTGAGGAGTTGCAATTTTTAAATCGATTATTTTGTCATATACTGCTTTACAGGTCTGTCATGATAAACATATAAATAAGATAAAATTAAACGTGCACTAATATAAACTACATAAATATAAAAAAGCACAATAATCTACCTTAAATGTTCCAAAGCTTTCTTCCAAGTCTGCATACATAGACCACACTTTTAAAGATTTGTATAATCTCATTTGCACTGTCTCTGATTCATCATGATAAGCCACTTTTCTAGCTGGCATTGTAGTAGCACGATGCATGAGTTTTAAAGCTTCTTTACAGTTCCTACCATGAGAGAAAATAAAATATATATTATCCATATTCAATTATCTCGTTTTTTACTTAAACAGTAATGTTTAGTTATTTGCATATGTTGTAAATTAATTTACCCATGCCGAATTTCCATTTCTGCCCACTCACACCATACCGAGGCAAGATCGTCGACTTTTGTGTATGGAACATGAGTTGCCTTTTCAAATACTACTCTAGCATCCTCTATTTGACCATTTTCTTCATAAAATTTGCCAAAAGCAACCCACAATGTATGTAATTTACCGACTGCTAGCTGTGGTTGCACTGTCTGTACTGCTTCTGTGTATGTATTAATTATCTATAACAAAGAGTGTTTTAATTAGCAATTAGCATAGATTTACATATAAATTTATAATGATATTATTTTACCTCATGTGGTTGCCCTTCATAAAGTTTAACTCTCTTATGCCATTCTGCTACATTGTGTGGGTTTTGTCGCAATAATACAGAATTGAGTAGCAATAATCTCCTTTCCATGAGGTGTTCCAATCGTGCCAATCTCAATTCTAATTCTATATCATCTGGTACAGAAATATGTAAAGATTAATATTTATTTAATAAAATAAAAATATGTAAAATCATACATGTATATAATTGCATACCGTCCTCAGTAGGATTCGTCGCTGCTTCTTCTATAAGCTTTTTAAGGCTAAGTTCCTCAAATTGTGCATAAGCATCAAAAACTTGTGTAAAGTCTCTAACAGTAGTTACAGTCTGTATAGCTTCTTCATAAATATCTCTTGCCTAGAAAAAAGTTTTATATGTAATTTTTATAACTAACATTATAAAAGAATGCATTAATTAAATAAACATATAAAGTTGATGATACCCTCTCAAAAAGACCACTTCGAACATAATAATCTGCTAGTGAATTCCATAGAGGTCCCAATTGATCTGTATAACGTCTTAAACCACCTCTGATAATAGCATCCACATTCAGGGATTTTATTTTGGAAGGATTTTTTGATATTAAGTCACATAATTCATTCCATAGTTGATGATTCGATTTTCCATGCTTTGACACAAAGTCATCCTGATTGACAATCTGTGCTAGTTTCACAGCAGCCTCATCAAGTCTTTTAATAGATATTAAGTATTCTATGTATTCTTCTGTATCCTCTGGAGCTAACTATATATATAATAAAAAATAACAGATGACACATGAATATACTTTTCTTAAAAATAATTATTTTCAAAATTTATTTACATATATTAATTAAGAATATAAAAAATAATATAAGAAGCAGTATAATAATAAGCAGGTACTACAAATTAATATTATAAACAAATGTTAGTTATTACCTTTAGATATCTCCTAAAAACTCTGACAGCAGTTTCATAGACATTATGCTTCTTCAAGAAATTAATATACAATGGCCATATTCGATGATGCTGTGTGATAGGGAGAGCCCTAAGTGAACGATCAAATACTTGACGTGTTCGTGTTATATAGCATTGTTCAGTCATTAATGTACAGTAGTCCATCCATATACGTGGCATTTTATGCATAAATACTAAAGCACGTTCAAATGCATTATTGACATCTTCATACAATGGATCTGTTATACATCGACCCTTTAATTGGCTCACACGTTGTCGAAGATAATTATACCATAATTTGTAACTGCATACACAGAAAAGAGATTAGTATCCACTTAATTGTAACTGCATTAATAAAATATATAATCTTTAAAAACTGATACATATATATATATATATATATATATATATATATATATATATGTGTGTGTATATGATAACTGATAATTGATAACTGATGTATAAGGAGTTATAAAGATATATAGAAGGGAATTGTTTACCTGCCGGGAAGTTCCTTCAGTGCTCGTTCATACACCACATTTAAATTCTTACTTTTCGTGTTTTTAAGATGATCAATATAACGTTGCCAGTGTTTTACCGAATACGGATTTCGTAAAATTTCTTCTTCATATGGTAAGTCCTCTTCATTCTATTTAATTAAAGTTGTAATGTTATATCACTGCTCTTTGATAACTCTATATATATATATATATATATAAAGAACTTTTATAAATTATTATAAACTTACAAAGACATATAAATTTCCTTCATCATCTTTACGTTCCAACATTATAGAAAATACCTCAATAAATTAAATACAAATTTTTGCCACTTTGCTTGAAGGTTAACAGTTTTTGCCACTTTTATAGCACTTTTAGTAGCTATCATTCTCGAGTTTTTGCGCATGCGTGGCGAACACAATTGGTCTGTTCTTTTTAGCTGCGCTGCTGAACTGCTGCAATAAGTTAAAGGGTACGGTCCAGTAAGCGCTACAAATGCTTTGTAACGTTTTTACTTCTTTCTCTTTCTTCATTCGAATCCAAGAAATAGAACAAGAGAAACGCTGCGTAGCATCTGTAGCGGTTACTGGACCGCGCTTAAAATGAGAAAAAATATATTTAACTCATTCTAACTTATTGCACCAGTTCAGCAGTGTAGCTAAAAAGAACAGATCGCATATTAATAAACCGTGTAATATAAACAAGATTAGAGATAAAAGTAAATGTTACTTTCGCCGTAATTCATCACAATTTTATTGTGCAGTAAAATGTACAGTCCATTACAGAGATGTGTACAATTAATATAATAGCAGAGATATCTTTGGACAACAAATTTCTGTGGCGGAAGAATATTTCTTGAACACCTTTGAGAACGCTGTACAGATATCGAAGCGACGCGACTGTGATTACTGTACCGCATAAAGTCGTTAAAGTTCGAAAAGTTAATTGTGATAGAATTTGTGCAAGAACAAATCGTTGATATTCCATGTCAAAAATTGTATAACATTATCTCCATACATGACTGACGCCACAAAACTAAAATTCCTCGGATTTTGCACCTTTCTCGTGTGTTGAATTATACAATTATTGAATAAAATATATAATTGTTCTTCAAAAACGAGCGTATTAACGAAGTTATTATACAGTACATGATTATTACACATATATATGTATATATATATATAGAAAGATAATAGGATAGATATAAATTTAATACTCTTTGCAGCTTTCTGTAGAAAATAATAAATATATATTAGTATATCTCGGTTCTTCTCTCTGTTTTATATCAATAGTATTACAGAAATCGCTGCATAGCAAGATGACATTTTAAATACACGCCTTAGTTTTAATTTCTCTCAGAAATAATTCTTTGTAAATGGAGAAATGCCATAAGATTATTACATGTTATTTTGCATAAATATCAATATATGTAACCTTTACATACAGATAGATATAGAACAACTTTATTTTTGTACAAAAAACAGTTCAATAAAATTCAGAGGTTTGAGTATTCCAATCTTTTAGGCTTCTCTTATTCTTGAATACTCTCCCCTTTTTGGAAAAACAAACAGAAAAGGATTAATCCAGTTTACTATTCAGCAAGAACAAGAACAAAAACTTTACATTTTCTCTGTCCCTTACTACTCTTATGCATCAGCTCTAATCTCTGGCTCTACCAAAACTAAACACAATATAAAAAGATATTTCGACAATGTTCTAATATTAAGAATAATTTTTCAGAAAGTTAAATAATAGTATTATAGCAGTATATATATAGCAATACTAATAAAAGTATTCGGTTAAGTACAACATTTAAATACAATTAGTAAAAGCATTCTTGCATATTATAATAATAAATGAACTTTATATACTATGTGGTTATATGTGCGCGCATGCGTGCATATATGTATATGGTAAGTGGCATGAATGTATGTGTATATGTGTGTATGTGTATGTATACATGTATGCTTGGTATGTTTGATTTCAATTAATATATAATATTAATGATGTGGCGATATAACATGACATATATTCGGAATAATCTTAAATGACTTTTCAGGACCGCTTTGTATGCTTAACAATTTATATACAATACATACACTGCTTTCCTCTGTTCTACCTCATTATAAATTAGTGAAAAAATAATGCTGCTTTGGCCATGATCTGCGCATCGGTAATTATTATTAACTACATCTTCGTTGCTAATACCTACACTTTTGAATGTGTTCCATGGTAGTCTTCAAAATGGTCAAAAAACTCTAATTATACACAGAGTTTATCATCGCGAAGTGTATACCTCTAGAAAAATCTCATCTCGAATACCGCATCGATCGTTACCACGATGTTAATCCTGTATTATAGTCCGCCGTTCATTAATATATTATATATATATAACATTAATACTTTGATTATTATCACTGCATTAGGATGATTTGTATAAAGCAAATAGCCATTACTTACTCAACGTGTGTGGAATCAATTTACTTTCAAATTTGCTCTTTTTCTTCTGTCACGTATTATTTACTCAATCTTTGACAATTATTCGTGGCTTTACCTCATATTCGAAATGTTTAATTCGCTTATATTATAAAATATTAAGCACCTTCGACTTTGGTATAGAAACAAAATAATTCGGCGATTCCGTCTTGCAATCTCTTCACATTATTTTAAATAAAATGAAAAAGATTCTATTGATACATATTGTAAAACATAAAAAAAAATAGACGCGTCTATCGAAAATTATGAATATAATGTTCCGAATATGGAATGGTTCGATATATATATTTATATATATAGTTCATTAATAGTATAAATGAAATGTAAATTAAGAACAAGATGATGTACGCGCGTGTGGAATGTGTAACTTAAGTATTTTTGTTTCCTGAAAGAGTGTTCATAAATCACTTCAATTGCGATAATCACTATTTTCTCCTTTCAAATCAGGCTAACGCAATTATTGAATTCACCTTAGTCTGAGTCTTCACATCTGAAACATGACTTTAACGTACACAAGCTAACAAGCTTTATAACATTTAATAGTAAATTCTCCCGCACTTATCTTCTGCCAATTAATAATAAAATAGTTATTCTATATACTGTGACAAATAAGACAGTTACAAGGCCATACAGCAGTACTGCAGAGCATTCTGACAATGTTAGTATTTCTATATGCTACTTTCAATATGATTTAAGATAGAAATTTTTTTTAGTCCAGAATATAATTACTTTAGCTATTGATATACTATAAATACTATGGTAAAATAATGTTAAGAAAGTGCTGTACAGTGTAAATAGCTGTCTCTCGACATCGATTAGTTTGAGAAATATGTACTTGATTGTATCTATGATTTCATAAATTTATCATATATTCACCTTACAATAAATTAATATTCACGTTGCAACAAATAAACAACGATCTGTACATTTAATATAAAAATTAAATCTAAGGACGGAAAACAGAAAACGCTAAGACTATGATCAGATATTCAATCTCCGCTGTGTATGTGAATGAAATCTATCGGTTAGCGAAAGTATCATCAACTGCACCACTCTGTTATCTTTAATTCGCGCGACGCGCAAGGCTTCCGACAGTAGTTTTCTAGTTGTCATTAGCCGTTTGTCTGTAACTTTTACCCGAATAATTCCTTTAAAGCATAACGCACGGCGAGTCCATTCACAAGCAGTTGTGCGGAGCGTTTTCCCGGTATAAATAGGAAACTTTTCATTTGTATCTCGGACTATCCGGAGGAGTGGGTTGCGTGTTAGCTCTCTGTTTCGGTCCAGTTTTAAAGGACATTTTTTTTACCGGTCTCGGTGAAATGCCATGAAGAGTGGTACTCTCGGGGGTGTCATTGCTAAACCACACCCTGCTTCCGTCAGAAACTGGAAACAATTGCGAAAACACCATTACACTGCACGATTTCATAGATCACTGATCAAAAAGCCATGTAGAAATTTTAGCTAGAAAGTAGATGCTCGTGTGAGAAAAGCAGAAACATTGATAAGGAGAGTAAGCGTGCAGTTGAAAAGAAAAAAGCAAGGAGAACATCAGCGGCAGTGCATCGATATTCTCTAGAGGTATTCCTGCGAAGCGACATTTGAAGAATAGCATATACAAAACACGTACAAACGTAAGGAAAAAGTAATCATTAAGACATGCTATTTTTTTTAATGCTCATAGAGTGTAAAGATTACCTCTGAATATATTTTGCAAGACTGCCAAACAAAAAGTTAATTAAGAGACATAGAAATGTTAAAGAAAAGAAGAGAAGTGGTTTGAGAAATTTTTGCTCTGTCGCCGTGTGTCTGATAAGATTATATATCTTGCGTTATATCTCGCATCTTACGTTACCGTTATATCACGTACGCAGAATGTTACAACATAAAAGTTAGAATCACAAGATCGCAATATGCTAATACTTTTTCTTTTCTTTTATTTTATAAGGAATATTCACTTTTCTGCGCACAAGAGCACATTCATCTGCGAAGTCTTGCAGATGTTCCACGAACTGTTCACTGAATTATAATCAGACGATCGGTTAACGTCTACTTAACAGACAGATAAAGACATAGGATACAATGTCAGATAAAACGCCGGAAGAGAACAGCACGGAAATAATAAATAACTAATAATACTACCTTGTTCGGTGGTGTTATAAGGTGGGTGGGGGGTTAGTGGACTGAATTAGTCACCTCTATTCGCACGGTTGTCACTGCTCGCTGTCGAAGCGCTGCGTAGACCGGAACGTCCTTGGTGCGAATCTATAAGCGCTGCCGCGAGGTTTGATGATGCTGTGGATTGCACGCTTGTTGTAGATCCTAATAGTATGATATATATTGGTAATAATAATAAACTTTTATGAGCAGCCTTACGTGGTAGCAGCACGCACAATTTTAAAGGGACGCTCGCTTCAGAACAAATTGCAAGTAGGATTAGCTATTCTTCGAAATGTTCACGCGATATTTCATTTATCACTTTATAAGTGTAATCTAGTTAATTTATATTCAAATTCACTCACCAGAGACAGACGAAGTTCCGCTGAACGGGCTCGGTGGTTGCACTGGTGAATATACGTTGGCTGTAAACTCCTCGAATGTCGTAGCTTCCTTGTGATTTCTCATAACAGTGTCGATGGATCGGGCCCGCTCCTCATAGCTGAAATTTATATTTGAGCAATATTAATCTCTCTCGTAGTATCATAACCAATATTCACGTAAACCGATTACTTACTAATGTTGGTACAACGTAAGCGTAGACCTCTTTGCTCTACTCGCGGCTAATGCGGTTGTTCTCACTAGACCTGGCAACACTTTATCCTCCACGATGCATTCGTCGAACAGAGGTCCAAAGAATGGAATATCTGACTTGCGTGAGATCTGTATTCTGTATAATTTGTTTTGCAGTGGATAAATGACTATCAGGACGTCGCAGAATTCCGTGGGTATGATGTCCCTGCGATAGTCTCGCCAGTGCTCGGACCAGACGATGTGAATTTCGTCGTTACCCAGGTGACGCGTCTGAAAACAAGCACTTTGTGAATTCGTGCTAATTGCGCAAACGTTGCGAAAGATTATAATCGAAATACCTTCTGCAATAAACTTTCGGGACTGTCTGATGGCATCCTCGTGGCAACGTGGAAAAGGATTTCAGTGAAAGATGTGGCGTAATAGGGTGCTGTAACGCCGGATGCTTTTCCGGGTACCAGGCCGCCGAGGAAACCTGTGTGCGATTCCAGTTCTACTTCCCAAGCGAGTCTCGCGATGAAGCTCTCGTACTCCTTACTGGCAGTGACGTTGCTTAGTATGGAGTTCTTGTCTTCCTGGCCTTGGCTGACGTAAATCACTGCTATCTTGTGAGTTTCCCTTGACCGTTGGCTGTCGAGGTTACGGAGTTCGCGTAAGAGCTTCTCGTTCTTCGCCAACAAATGCAATTTTCTACGTTGTTCCCAACCGGATAAACCAAGATGCGAAAACAAAAGGCGGCAGTGATGAAATGGCGCCGGGGGTGGACGACACGACGGCGGGCTGATTGCTGATGCGCACATACTGAAATGAGAAGTTGCAACGTTAAGATTAAATATAACGTCAAACTGCAACAAAGTATCGTAATAATCGATTGTAATGCAAATTTGATAAGTGTATTAAAAAAATGAGGAATGCAACCTGATGTGTTGATTCCAATTGTTGATGTGTTCTTGCTCCGCGTTTCTTTGGCTCAAGATCGTTGCAATGGTTTCGCTTTCCAAATAATGTCCTTGAGGTGGATTAGCGGGTGCATTAAGAGCAACTTCCGGATTAGTTAGAACTTCTGGGCTGGTATGTCCTATGTACTGAAGAAGCTGAAGACACACAATTGTTTAGTGATGGCAATCATAAGTTACAAAATATGTTACATATAAAATATATACAACCGTAATTTTGTCATAACTTACATCGTCCAAATTGTCCATATCACTTGCAGCGTTTGCAAAAGTTGGCAATATGTGGGGCTCGCGATGCCGTATCGTATGCCTTGGTGTACAGTTGTGAGGTGTGATGACACTGTTCAAATCATCCGTAAGTAATTTTGCGCTCCAGTCAACTAAAATAAATCATAAAGGTTTATTGTAATCTTAATGTTATAAGAATATATCTCGTAATGTGCGGTGAAAAACGATGAGAGTAAATAAGTAATCATTATTACTAGGCTTTGCAAATGGCAGCGGCAGGTCATCGTCGACGAAGGGTTGGCTGTATAATATTGAACTGTCCCAAGAAGCTTTCCCAGCAAGATCTCTTAACAGAACTCTAACCAAAGAAGGAGCTGTTGTTAAACCAGCGGTGACACCACCGCCAGGTGCGTCCAGTGCGGCTAACTCCACCAATGACATTATAATCGAATTAGAGAGCATCAACAGCTGTATATTAGGTGCTTGAAAAACGGCGGAGGACAGCTCGTCCCCGTCGATACCAGGGACGTCGTCTAGCTCGACAACTAACGATGAAAGACGCGCAGCTCCGATACCCATCGGAAAATGTCCCAAGTGATTGATTAAATGCATCATTACCTGCATTTGAAGTTAATGTCGTTTAGTTACTATGAATATACGTAGCACATACGTACGTACAATTAAATCAGCTTACCATTTTCGCTGCTAATTGGACAGACTGAATATTTCCTTTATGAGGCGATTTCGAGGAAGGCTCGTCAGCCAAATTATCAAACGTAATGTCAAATTCAAAGTCGCTACCGTCTTCCTGATTATTCTTAGCCGATTTGGAAGATTCTTTTTCAATTTTATTTTGCACTATATTGTTCAACACCTGTACAATGAAAGACCAAACTGAAAAACTGTTGAGAGAAATTATGCCATGTGAAAAATGTGAGAGAACGTAACACCAACTGTAAATAATGTCATCAAAAGAGGTTTCCCCTGGAACACTCGCAGTAATACTGTCGGTCCTAAGTGCATGGCCCATTCACCCAAGCAGAATAGCATCGATACTGTCAAGGGCCCGCGCCTTTCTCGTGATGTCATTCGTCCGAGTGTATCTGACAAGATCTATAGAAGGAGCAGTAAAGGACTCATTATTCATCCAAGCCTCAAATCGGATCTTAAAATGGTATACCTGTATATTATTTCGTACCTGTATTATTTTAGATGGCACGTTGGGATATAATTCTAGCAGTACATCAGCCTTATCGCAAAGAAGCAAAAGAGAGTCACACGCAACCTGCGCTACTGTGGCGTGCGAAGCCTGAAAAATAAAGATCAATATATAATCATTAAGCATCAATTAACTACCGTTGAGCATAGAAATTAATTTTTATATATTCTTACAATGATCAACATTGAGTTAATAACATATGGGAAATTCGCTAATTAGCGGATGTATGGGAATAACGAATAAGACCACACACCATCGCAGAGACTGCAACGACTTATTATTTCGCACATATATACATAGCACGAACAATAGGGACATGCAAAGTCTATGATATCCTCATAGAATGCAGGTATCAGTCCAGAATTGTCAACATCACATGATAAAGAGCTGACACAGTTACACTGAGGCAAAAAAAGAAGGACTACCTGATCCATTAGAGGAAAATGGAAACCAGCTCTGCGGCGCTCTGCTCCTTGCATCCGCTGTCAATAATACTCAATGAAAGAGATATTCACTTCCACCTTACTATTATGACAGCACGTCTGCCTTACATATTGTTAAATGGATCTCTTTCTCTTACATTTTAAAAATATACATTCACGTATAACACAGCCGTGCATTCTATGTGATATGTATAGTGTTTAACTTAAAACATCGCCCTAAGTGCAAACTATCAAGCAGCTAAAATTGCAGGGATAGTTTTCTTCATCATGCATTTAATGTCAAAAGTTTTACGGACTTTTGTTGAAATCTGTGCATCTGTAGCTGTTTGTGGTGTTGTATAATCATGAAAGACATCTAATGAAAATTTAGAATTTAAAAAACGGAGGTAAAAAATTGTACTTACTCTAAGCGCAAAGAGAAGAACTGTGACAGCTTCTGGGATTTTCGGATGTTGTGTTTTATAGGACAATTCTTTATACACGAACATTGCGATGCTGGATAGTGCTACGCATCTCGCGATTCCGGTTGGTTCCCGGCGGCAGCTCCGCAAAAGTATTGTTACAATATGTTCCTGTAAAGTTCAAAATAATAAAAATTATAAGAACATATTATATTCAGTTATGTCATGAAATTATGCGCAAAGATGATTTTACCTTTGCTTCTGGGCACGTCATTGTTATAATGTCAGGTCCTTTCGGCTGTAGCATAGGTAGCTTAAACATTGCAGCGGGTAAGGATAACAACGAGCCGATGATAGAAACAGCTTCTGTTCTTGGTGCCTGTAATATAGAAAGCGTGTGTATTAGAAGATGAACGTCGTATTATTGAAATCAAATGAAAAACTGATATAAAAACCTCGATATCTTGACTGCCGAGTACCACATTAGCAGCGTGTATGTAGTCCAAAATCAGAAGACTCGATCCAGGTAGATTCAGACTGAATAACCTGGGTCCTGTGTACTTCACAAGCACATGTAGAACATTACTATCCTTACTAGCGATACCGTTATGAACGGCGCGATAGAAGAGTGTCAAATGCTGCTTCGGTAAATTGATGTCCAACGGTTGTACCGTTAAAAGACATATAAGACGATAAGCTGCTAGTTTACCGATCTCGTACTGCTCGGGAAGTTGGATCGCCTGTGAGGAATACGTAGGTGAGCATCGAAAAATATCATTTTCACATGTCTGTGTACCTTAAAGCACCAAGGTGCGATCACCGTTAAAGGTGGAATTAGTTCTGGTGCTGGAGGTGTTGCTTGATTATCCCCGGATACTCCTTGATTTAAACGTATCTAAATGACACACGAAACAATATGAGAACCGGGTGAACAATGCTATTTTTAACGTCAGTTAACATTTCAAACTCGGTAAATCTTACCTTAATTAATGTTTGTGTAAGTTGCACGAGATAATCCATAACTTGACCGTGCAAAGTAGGATCTTGAATGTTATTCACGTCTCCTAATGCCGAAAGCATACGTCGCCATAAAACAACAGCCACATCTGGCAACCATCCACGAACCCCTCCACCTGCCATAACTGATCTTCTTTCTGATGCATCGTTTGTATCTGCAGAATAATAATAACTTTAATAAATATATATCAACTTATCAATTCTATATATAAATATATTCTTAAATATGACTAAATATTACTATACTATATATTACTGAGTAATACATAATCTATAGCATTATTTATAGATTATAAAACTGCTGTACGCTCGATTAAGCTTTACATTTTTTAGTGTCGCACAACGAGAAAAATTGTTACAAGCTTGACACATAATTCAATCAAATGAGATATAAACTTGAAAAGCAGAAGAGAGAAGACCGTTATCTAAAAAGCACAGGCTTTAATTTAAAGAAATATCTTGAATATGCTTTAATATTTGTTTTTATTTGTCTTGATGACATGAACAGTCATAAAAGCGTAATGTATTGTTAATAAACATTATTCGATTAAATATGAGATGTTATAAAATATGTTATAAAATGATTACAGACGTAGAACGGGTCTAATTTCGGAGATGTCGAAATTCTTACACTTTGTATAACGATAAACTTTTGTACGTGTTGTAAAAATAATCACAGGTGAGACAAGACATACATACCGATACTGCTACCGTCAATATTCTCTATTTGTATGGGGCTATCTTTGTTGCTGTCAACGCCACTGCTGGGTGTCGGTGATGGACATCGTGGCGACGGTGGTTCGCTATCAACTACAACAATGCTATCCAAAGATTTGGCACGTCTGCTGGGTAACATCTTCCGGCCAGCCGCCGACGACGAAGTCGAGCCGCTTGACAGTAATCGCGCCATATTTTGTTCTATCGATAGGGGGAGTACTGCACGTGTGGAAAATGTTTACACTTAATTCAAGAGTAGAGCACAGGCACGATGCGATGGTATACCCGACGACGTTTAGTTAAAATCGTTCACGTGTGAGCAACATGTCAATTAGAAAATTAGAACAAGCGACTAGATGGGCGCTGTGTTACGAGCGTGGTAGTTCTATGAAAAAGAATGATACGAAACTACTGTATGTCTGAGAGCACGAGAGGAGTTATTTTTAACTCCGGTGTCAGCGCCAAAGCGAAAAAAATAAGGGACACAGTTATAAATAAATTGCGCACACTGTCAGCAAACACAGAGGGCACTACCAAAGATTTCGCCATGTAGTTTCAAAGAATGAAAATTTTAAAAATATTACTTTATAGTATAAATAAATCAAGTGCGAATGGAGTTTGATTCGCTCACCAGGAATACCGCTGTGTATCGTATGTGTACGATTTCTTTGCAACTTTGTACGAGTCTTGCCGTTGTATATGGTGTTGTCACTCGCACTGCGAGGAAGCGGTCGCACTTTCCTCAAATCACGTAGCGGGTGGTCTGGTAAAAATTTAAACATTCTATTGTCAAACCTATTGTTGCGATAACGAGATAAAATTAAAGATTGAATGTTTTATGTTACCTGTGACGTTCTCTTTTGGCGCGACGTTGTTCTCCTGATCAATGCTACCTGCCCGAGGTGGTTGAACACTCCCAGTTGATGCCGCGCGACTTCCGACCCCACGACGTTTCTTTGATTTCTGCTCGCTGAGTCTGTCCAAAGGTAGATCATTCAAGTCCAAATTATACACGTGTCTCGCCAGTACTCTCGTCAGCGTATCCAGAGTTTTCTGTTCAATCATTAAAAGGTCATTATTCCACAGGTATGAGTCAGAGTTTATTGCGAGATCTTCGCCGTACTCACCGCCCACTCTCGAATTAACTCCTCCCATTGCGTTAACGACGTCAACACCTCTAGAAACTGGTCCCACAGTTGGGTAGAAATGATCACGTTTAAGTTAGCCTTAATCCATGTAACAATTAGTGTCTGGAATATAGCAGGCGCGAGCTTTCCGCCAATACTTTCTTGATGTTTGCGGCGAGAAGATTTCTCGTTCAGAACAAGAGATGTAATTTGTAATAACACCCTAACGAAAACCGAAAATGTATGACTCATTGTTGAAGAACAATATTAATCGCGAAAAAGAGGAGATAACTGATCAATAACGTACCTCAGTAACTGTTCCCAGGTTGCTGGTTCCAGTCTAGAGTGCATAACAACATATCGATACACGTTCAAGACTCTCTTACAACTGTCAGTTTGTTCTTCCAGTAACGTCGCAGACGCACTAGGTCCTAAATTCTCTAAAAAGAATACATTTGATGCTTGCATGATGAAAACTTGCAAGACATTCTGCAAGCCCGCCCTGATGAATAAATTCTCCCGGTGTATAGCTCCAAGATAAGAATCGTTTCTCAATCTTGTCTGCCGATAACTTTCGGATGGACTCTTCTCTATTTCATTCGCATCCTTCCTTTGACTGTCGTCTAAGTCTCGATCTTTATGACCATCCAATGGTTCCAACATAAACGGAGGAATTTCCTGCAAAATGTTTGCTGATGAAAAACGACTTACACGAAAATGCATACGCAATAGTCTTGTAACGAAACTCACGTTCATCTGAATCCAGTCCTTGTAAACGGCGATAGCTTTTCGTATAGCAGCCGCATGATTAAAGTCCAGAAGAAACGCCTGTCTGTAGAGTTCGTGTACGAAATTTACGTTATCCCTATTTCCGTATAAAACTTCTCTGACTAACGTGACCGCCGAGATAGTGCTATCTTCTTGATTCTGATTGTCCTGCTGGGACATGGCTGCTTCAGGTGACAGTAGATTCGAATCTGTAGAGTTTTGAGTAACCGACACACGACGTAATTCCGACTCAGCGTTTTCCTCATTCGGCGTTGTGCTATGGATTACAATACAGATGAGGCATTGAAGTTGCACACAGAAATAAATAAGAGCTTTAAGTAAATTACCTTTGTGAGAGATGGGCGAAAAGTCCGTCTTTTCTAGCGACGTGCGTGAAGCTTGCGACCCATTTGATTAGAACGACCTTGCAAAGCACGTAGTTGTCCTGATTTTGATTCATTGGTTTTCGCATTGTGGGTAATTCCAGATTAGGTTTGTAAAGTGAAAAGTTGTCATCAAATTCTGGACAAATGTGACGAAGGTATGTGGCCTTAAAGCGTTCTAATAAGAATTGGAAAGTTTTGTGCTGCCGTGTGGATTTATCCCGCCATTCTATCTTTACCACCTGGATGATAAACAATTATTAAATAATAAATAATGTTTATCACATGCATCTTTCCAAAATAAATAATGTTGAATAATCATATGGAGAAACATGTGAAGTAAAATTCCATTAAGAAAGTACGAATAAACGTTAAATTATATACCTGAGTAACCATAAATTCAAGCAATGCTTCCAAAAACCTAACAGTTTCATTGTCGAGTGGCTTTTCTCCACTTTGGGGTGGTAAGATAGGCCCGCCGTCAACTTGACTGATAGGACATTGATTCGATCCGTCATGAAAAGTGCTTAGCACAAGTTGTGTATCATAAAATTCCTTCTTATCTTTCTCTTCGTGGTTAGTCGCTTTTACGAGCTTTTCTTTTTTGCCGTCCGTCTTGCGATCAGATTTGTAAGGTGATGCTTGATGTGGTGGAAATCCCGGCACCAAGCTGGCGAACATCTGATGTATATGCTCGGGAGCATTTTCGCCAAGGGCTTGATACCATAGAATAAAGTATCTAAAATATTCACGATGTTACATACATTGCTTTATATGAATATATGTCTTGATCAATTATCGATATACCTTATGGCTTGTCTGCGAAGTTTCCAACTATTGCCAGGATGTAAAAGCTTCTGCAGAATCCGTGCTAGACTATGGCATTGCCATCGTCTGTTAAGCAGCTCAGGAAGAAGAGTCAGAACTTTCTCCAAGAGCTGCAATACTTGTTCTAACTCTTCCCTGTGTGCTTTATGCACTAAAAAAGAAAAATAAACTGTTTTTGCTGTTCTTAAATTACGCTATATAAAATTTGCAGCAAATATGATTGAATAATAGGATTGAAATAATAGAAGAGTTATTATATTTATTTAAGGTTATATTTTTGTATAAATTTCCATAATATGAAGTTTGTAACACGCTCATAAATAAAAGAAGTTATTTAGGAACAAGCAAGTGTGTAATATAAAATCATGCTAGAGTAATATAATATATTGTGACTTACCAATGTGGAAGGAAAGCTCTGGCAGCGAAATGAAAAGAAATGGAAGAGATAATAAAGTGATAATGTGTAAATATTGCATTAATAAAAAAAATGTATTATAATTTTGGAAGCAATGATGTTATACAGTTAAATATGACACACAATTACAAGTGATGTGTGTAAGCATGGAAATATTCAAAGCTAGACAGTAGTAAGACAGTTAGCTTTATTTATAGTGCTTTACATAATAGTATCAGTATAATTTTTTCACTTACCGCGTTGTCGAAGATTCGCTTCGGCAGATACAAAACAATCATACAGGATGAAATACACATGGCTAAAGTTGCCCTCAAAAAATCCTTTTGCCTCATCAGTGTCCACATTTTCTTTAACATAAAAAAAAAACAAATATATCAGTATGTTTTTTTGTATGAAATATATAATTAAAGATACAACACACATTAATTACAAGTAGATGGAAGTATAAAAGAAAACCTTTCGCTTGTGACATATATGCCTTATACAGAGAACTGTGAACACTCTGTTACATCATGACTTGTCTTGGACATTTGTGCTTATATAGCAGAACTACTTTTTTTCTATTTTTAAATGTACATTATAAAAATAGTATTGCATAATTACATATTCTAATATTTTAAAATTGTAATAAAATAAGAACAGAGAACAGAGTTGCAAAATTAGATGAATATATTATTTATAATATTGTAAGAAATTTATCTATGTATATTAATTTATGAATGTAATCATAGTGCATTAATAAAAATGTATCTAGTATTTAATATCATAAAATAATTTTTATCAGTAGTCCAAGTTATATATGGAAAGATACATGGAACATGTAATAATAATGTAACTTTAGCCGAAGTTGGAGGCCATAGGTTGGTCAATGTGGTTATGCGGTTTGGTGATTAGATACTCTACCTCTCATGACACTGGGAAACCACAGTTCTATAACTATATGGATTTATATCCTTTTTCTTCTTAACTAGGACATGCAATAAGCAGATGATGCATATACAAGATAATATAGTAGTTAACAACATTTTCTTTTTAAATATGGATGAAGAAACTTGTGCTATTTTACAATAATTTTCTTAAATAAGCAAAAGTCTATACAAATAAGAACAAATAATTAATTATGTTTCAATGTTAAAATTATTAAATATTATATAAAGTATATTTTTATACAATAAAATTCATATAAATTTATATATTCTTTAAATACTCTAAAAAAAAAATATATATATATATATACATATATAAATCCATTATGTCTTAAACAGTGCTATATTATCTTTGCGTGTTTGGGACTTTTGAAATATATTATCATAAAATTGTGTTATTGATATTATTTACAATTATTAACAATTTTAAATGTTCTATTGCTAAAATATTTTAGTGTTACTTCTTGTTTCTCAAAGACAAACAGATTATGCTAAATGAGGTTATTTTTTAATAATAAAAAATAATGTTGTATACTTCACAAGATTGAAATAAGCATACAAGTAAAAACTGAAACGTCTCACTTGCCAAAAGATATAATGTCAAATTTTTAAACTGAACATAATATGCAAATGTAATACTAGCTTCCACTATAGACAAAATTATTGCATTCTACTTTAGGGTCTGCACCAGCGTGTGGGAGTAAGCAGCCACAAAAGGTATGCTTCCTCTTCAGCATCCTACTCGAATATGTTCACCACTGAATAGCCTTTATTTGTCACCTGAAGCAAGTCACTGTATTCTCACCTAACACAATCTTTAGATGCTTGAATCGCGTTGCGCTGTCCTTCTTGACATCCTGGATTTTCAGCGTTGACTTCTTGACGTCTACATGGGGCTTCTTGCTGAACATGGTTCACTGCGAGCCGCCGGCGGCCGCGGGGACAGGAACAACCATCGACGACGTCCAGGATGGTCCGCATCGATACGAGCCGGCTGTTTCCGCGCAATCACCGTTCCTGCGACACGAAGTGCATTGCTCCGTTTTATCACGAATCGGCGTCCAATTTCGCACACACCTCCGATCAGATGTACGTGACGGCCATCTTGACAGCCTCACTGGCTGCTCACTGGCGTTGCGCCGCGCTGCTCGGCTCCTCGGGGCAATGACATCATCGTCGTCGTCCAGTTCGCTAATCTCGACTGAATGTAAGTAATTTGACAGCAGTGCATAAAACTCGTGTAAAATTTCGTTTAATTCAGATTAAAAATCGATAGACAATCACGAGAGGTAAAATAATGAGTATATCTTGTCGTGCGAAGCGCTCTTTAAGAGTAGAAATATACAAGCGAAAGTAATTCTAGGTTACAGATTGCGATTTTGAATATGGCGCCATTAGTACCACACGAAGGAGGCTCATGAATTTTATCGACTGAGCAGCAATTGTAACCAGATCGATACCTCGATTTTACTAGACGTTCAGAGTTTACATTTATGGCAGCGGAAGTGATGTCAGCGGACCACAATACGCGCTGCTCGTCATTTCAAAATGGTCTCGAAAGACGAGAAAGTTTATATGGAAATGGTGTTCACGAGAGACTGCAGCGTAAGTCGTCAGGAAAAGGTGAAGGCGTTGTGGAAATTCCTGGATACACGGGACGACTTACAACCGCATAAAGGTATAAAGGCGTAAAGGTTATATGGCAGATCAAAGATTGTATGATATTTCAATATTGGCTGCGTTCAGCAGAGAAAGCTGCTTTGCAACTGTTGTAAAATTTGTGAATCTAATTGGAGCATGCTCTTAATTTTAATTGAATCCAAGAGCATGTACCAATCAAATTCACGAATTTTACAACGCAGTTGCAAAGCAGTTTTCTCTGCTGAACGCAGCCATTATCGCGTACTCAGAGCACCCATCCTTGTCACTTCAATATGAAATGCTGTTTCACTTGCAGAACCGTCATAGATATAAAAATATTACAAGATCTTTTTAAAAGGTTTTTATATACGAAATTTTGCTCAATTAATGTCACAATACGCAATTGAGCCATCAATGAATTATTATAATCAAAATAAAAGAACATTAATGCACACAATTATATTAACCTAACTTAATCTATCATTTATATAGCACAACCTAGTAGCACAGTTTATTGGTGCATTATTGGCTACAGATTGAGACCCAATATACCAATATTGGCCTTGTATTGCAAAGTAGACACTTTACATTTTATAATATAGAATTCTGAATATTAACAATTCATTTATTACCAATATTAGCTACATATTGGCCCAATGAATACCTAATGTAACCATTATTAGGACAATGTAACGCCAATGAACTGTACTACTAAAGTATACGTAATTTTGAATTATTTCTAAACTGTTGTACTCACATGAAAAAAATTTAGCTGTTTTACATAAAATGTTATTAAAATTAATTATCTATTACAAAGATTAATTATTAATTAACGATTATAAGTAGATAATAACTAATGATGTAATATGTTTAAATAAATAGGTACATTGGAAGTTAAGACACCGCCGCAAACGAAATCGTCAACATTAAGTATGAATGAAAAGGATATTTGGCGTAAAGGACTGGGAGTTTTTCAGCAACTTGGCTTGGACAAGACTGCCCTCGCGGCTGACAACAGATGCAAGCTCTGTCTCATGGAGAAAATGATCGAGTATGATTAGCTCACTGCGTAATTCATTGAAGTAACTGTAAGTAAATCATTTCTTTTCTCGATAACCGCAGATGTAAGGATTTGGCCGATACGGTGACGCAACCGTATGAGGAATTAAACGCTGAAATGAAGGCCTTTCAGCAGCGACAGAAAAATCGTATATTAAATCAAAGCAAAAAGCTTGTCTTTAGCAACACATTGAATCAACGTGGCTCTGATTGTGCAGAAACAAAAAAACTATAATTACGTATATATGATTATGATTGTATGTAATGCTTAAAGACATTATCACATCAGTCAGTTTTCTGACATTTCTGAAAAATATATTTACGCGATAATTTCTTAATTTGGCAATGAAAAAGAAATTTTAGATTTTTAGATTTAGAATTTTAATAAGGTATAAGTTGAGCGTATATATATTATACGCTATTTATTTTTATGAATTTATTTCTGAGACTTTATACTGAAAGAAAAAAATATCTAAAAAAATATTAATTCGGTGGATACTAATAACACGGTGGATACTTAAATCTAAACTTTTTTTATTTAAATAAATAACAGCTTTCATGAAGAGTTTTAAAGTTTTCAGAAATTGTGTATTTTTTTATTTAAAAGATTTTATATATTACTATAAGTAAATATATTATTAGTACTCTTTGCGAATGAATATTTTTTATTTCTTAAATATTTTCTCTTTCAATATGTACCAATTTTCTTGTTATCTCACAGAATTTCATTATACATGTAAAAACAAAATATTATATTAAAAATTATATTAAATATTATATTAAAAATATTATTAAATATTAAAATAGTATGAGATATTAAAGTCTAGGCAATAAAAAGTCAAATAATTACTCTCTTAATATGACATCATAAACAAGCTATTGAGTCTGGATAAAATAATAAATAAAATTTAAGATGTTTTAGTGGCGCATCTTGCTCACTATTCGGTTGTTGTTAAATGCGTTCGAGTTACGAAAGTTTGTGCCAGGTATCGGTGTGTAATCAATGTTAATCGATGACGGGGAAATTACGAATTAAAATGCTCACGGTGCACGAAAAGCGGTCTGGCGGCGGGGCTGTCAGTTGTTTAATGGAAATAGAACGGGCCGCAACATGGATGAGTAGGGTAGGGTACGTCCCGAGGTACTATGGTGTATCGGATTTCCTTAGTCCAGGAGGTCGACGTTGTTTCGAGCAAGGTGCGCTGCCACGGGAGCTGCCATGAATGGACCGGTGGATCCTGAATCCTTACGCGACATCTGGTCTCCTGAGCCGACGACATCGTCTTCTTATTATTACTCGGCCGCATAAGCGAGACACTTTACGTCAGCCGGGAACATCTCTCGATTTCTTCATGGCGTTCTATAATTGAAGAGTTTGATGTGACACGGCGGTTCATTTTGCCTTTTTGTTTCCAGAAAATTGATTTATATCGAATTCTTTGTCGATTTCTCAAAATTCTTTCTTCTTTCCAACTCCAAAGAGAATCTATCAAACCGCTGTTGCACCAAACGCTTCAAATGCCGTCGCATGCTTTGGCTAAATTTTCAATGATTACATCACACAAAGATACAAAGACTTCAATCTCGTCTTTTGGAAACGGCGATGATGTTTTGAATCGCCGTACTTGATAATGAAATCGGAGCGCATTATGATGACCGTATCGAGCGAAACGCGACCGGAAGTCCGGTTCGGTCAAGCAAACCATCGACTTGGCGTCGGCTTCCATGGATAATAATCACAAGTGATCGTTTGTGCGTCGCAGGGGGCTTCCGCTTCGGGCTCCTGCTCTCTTTTTTTCCTCTCTCGCTCGTGCCATTACATCGCGGACCGTTTGTCTCCCGTGGACGTACGGTCCATTGTCTCGTGAGTTTTTCGATCGGGAACCGCGCCGGAAATCGGCCATCGAAACCGCACCCGTACGCGTCCGCACGCGTATGACGTAACGCGTATCCATAAAATCTCATAAAAGCGATTCGATAACTATTTCGGCCGGGCGTTCTCCCGAACTGGTATCTGTCGTCGATGTATCGCTTATAAATAACAACGCAACCAGATACCTAACGGAGATTGAGTTCGGTAATACCGAGCAACGAATCGGTTTCTGGAGCATGTGACAATTATTTACAAGCGCTTAACCGATCATATATGCATCAGCCGTCTTTATGGGCGACATATCAAAACGGGCATCTAATTCTCGACGATACGCCGAGAGTGACGAGACATGTTTAAATATAACGTGAAATCGTTATATTTCCGTCGAAGATCTCGTGATAATTAAGTTTCAAATTATTAGGGGGCCTACATACGATATCATACGATATTATGATTCGTAGGTCATAACGATATTAGTTCGGTTTAGCAGGAATACTTCGTTCTGAGAAAGATTTTAGCAAATAAGAAGAACACGGTGCGCGCATAAAATTGTGCAATTTATATATACACAAGCCGTGAAATCAATTATATTCATCAATTATATTCAAACAGATAAATAGAAGATAAGTAATAAAAAAGAACGTCTGAGAGAAATGTGAGAAGAATAAATATGTTTGTATAAAAAGAGTCCGAGTGCAATCAATGCGCTTAAAAAAGTATATCCTCGTATTAATACAAGATCGATATTTTCCGTATGTCATTTATTTTCCTCATCGAGCAAAATTGTCGACAATTCGATCCAAATAGAAATATACACTGAGAGAAAATATATCTAAGAAATAAAAAATATTTATCCGCAGTGTGTATACTTTTGTGTGTACTAATTATTTCTGTATTAAAATATAAAATATTTTTCAAAATAACAAAATATACATTTTCTTTAAATTTTAGCCTTTCATAAAAGGAATTTTTTATTCTATTTAAGTAAAAGTATTTAGATTTAAGGGAATATGTTATTAGTACTTATCGAATAAAAATATTTTTTGCTTTTTAGAAATTTTTCTTTCAATGCAAGAATTATTTCATGACGTTAACTAATACAGTTAACTAATACAGTTCGCGACATATGAATCATAACTGTTAAGGTCGTTCTACATTAGTTGCAAGCCGATCGCAAGCAGACGCAATTTTTATTGCGGCAGCCAATTAGAAGCCAATCAATAGTGCTATTAACGCTTCTGATTGGCTGTCGCCAATCAATAAGAGTTGCAATCGACTTGCAACTAATGTAGAACGACCTTTAAGGATATATTCAATCGATTGAGACTTCACAAATATTTCATATACTGCCAATACTTGAGGTTTGTTCTTTTCAACTGAACTAGTACTGCACTAGAACTGCACTGGTTCGGAACTGGAACTGACGAATACAGCAAAAGTTCATAGGTTCAGACATGTTAGATAGGATGGAAAAGAACGCTATAGTGCAGAAAACAATATGGCGCAACACATAATTTTAGATGCAAATAATTCTTCAGATGAAGAATTTACTGTACTTGCGTTAATGTATATATCTCAATTGCCCCCAGAACCTATCTGGGATATTGCCTTCATTCCTTTTAATTTCTACAATATTCATCTCTTCCATCTTCATAGATCTGTTCTTTTCACCTGAACTACTTGCACTGGTACAGTAACTTTTACCCTTGCACTGCACTGCACTGCTTGCATTCGCTCCAGATTTAGTGCAAGCAGTTCAGTGAACTGTTGCACTAAGTTCTGCTGCATCGTTGAAAAGAACAGTAACCTCTGACGTCACTTCTGCTAGAAAGAATGCAGTGTATACTTCTTGAACTAGTGCAAGAAGTTCAGCTGGAAAGAACAAACCTTTGGTTTCTTTCCCTAAAACGGCGTAAACTCTTGTTGCACCCTTATCATCTCTGCGCTCCACTGCATCATTCACGTATCTTCGCGACCGTAAACGTCGAAATCACGTAACCTCGGTGCCTGACGTGTCACAGGAAAGTAGTCACTCGCCCTGGTTACCCTACAGTGCACCCTGTTCTGCTGCCCTGTGGCTGAACCGCACCTGGAGCATAATAAAAGCATCGATTGAAGAAGAACGGGAAGGACATGGGAGAGCCGAACATGCAGAGACAAAAGCACGGGAGGTAAGAGAGCGATCGAGAGGTTAGCACAAAGGGAGCAAGAGGAAACAGACGAACGGTGAGAGGTAAAGGCAGGGGCAGAAAAGGAGGAGGAGGAGGTGAAGGAGGAGGAGGAGGAGGAGGAGGAAGAAGGAGAAGGAGAAGGAGAACGAGAAGTCCCGTTGACGGAGATTCGACGAAGCAGCGATGTTTAATCGGTGTTGGCCCGCATCAGGTTGATCGGGGACCCCCCAACCGGGTGTTGGAGTACGACGCGGGCCCCTGACGACGACATAGGGAGGTCCGGGGCAGCAAGCGGAACCGGGGAGAGGCTGCGCCGTGCCGATCAGGCGAACAATGGAGGCGGGATGCTCATTTGTCTGCGGGCATTGTTGTTCACCCGGCCGGAAACACGAGCCTCGTACTCTCCTTTTCCCCTCTCTGTCACGCACTCTGTCTTTCTCTCTGTATCCCTCTCTCACCCTCCCTCTTTCTCTCTCTGTCTTTCTCCCTCCCTCTCTCCCTCTCTCGTTCACCGTCCGTGCATCCTCCTCGTCACCGCGTCCTCCCCTCCCGTTGTACCTTTTTCCAGTACGAAAGTACAGCGATGATTCCGCCAATCGTGTCGCTCGACGTCCGCAGGTCGATGGTGAAAAATTCGGGATAACCGTTTCCACCATGTTCAATCGCGAGTCGACGCACAATGTTGAATGTGTCGGACTCGGCCGCCGACTTATCGATCGGTGAAAGCTCGCATCGGGACGCGACGCAAGATTTAGGAGAGATTCTTGAGAGGAAGAGATTCAAAAAAAGGGAACGATGTGAGAGGCTCGACACGACGATTCGCGTAATTTTCGCATCGATTTTCGCTGTTCTCTGTGAAAAGGCAACTCCATCGAGGGTTGCCCATCAGCAGATACTCTCCTTACAGATACTTGACAATGCATCTATCATCCTATAAGACCATGTTATCACCGCGCGTAATATATTGACAAATTTGTTCCGTTCAAATTACATGCTGTTCATGTTCACCCTCGCGATGTTGGACACAATACGCTTCGGTTTGGCTATGAGACTTATTGGCTAATAACCGTGCGATATCGATGGCTGTGGAGGCGAATTTCGAAAGGTAAAAAGGAGGTCAGCCGGTAAAATACGCGGAAACAAAAAGGCCGTCGAGCGAACGGGAGCGTATGCGGGAGGATACAAAAATAGAGGGGCAATTTCGCGGACGACCACATTCACCAGCGGTCATCGGGAGGG